AAAAACGGATATAACCTCGATATAGTCTAGACAATCTAAACTATAGCTCGGTTATTTTAGTCGAGGCCTTTTAAATACTGAAAGTCGAAGACAAAGTCATACATGTAAACTATTTGGCATCAAATGAATAGTGGCCTTTTGAATGCGTATATGTGTTATAACTCGATGAATTTGAAATCTCTCACACTCCTAAAAATTAAACATTTCACGGTCAACAATTATTATTTATCCTTTTCTTACACTAAGCCATAGGAGTAATAAGTGCAGCTGTATGATATTATCATACAGTTGCACTTACTACTCCTTAGATGAATTGAGTATGGTTTGAAAAAGGGAATTATTCTAAATTTAAGCCACACGTGCGTACAAAAATATTTGTAAATCTATAACTTTAAACGCAGGTTGTTTATGGACTTTTGTTTACGGACTGTCCATTTCCCTCTTTATCAGAAATATCAGATACAATCAAACCTATTCCCACTTTGATCTTGTATAAAGCACCTGAATGCCCTGAAGCCAGCACGTGTGTATTCCGGAACCGCCTCGTCGTCAGAAATATCAACAACAGTAGAATGATTACTCCTGTGGACTTGTAATAAACATCCGTCAGACTTTGACCACATTCCAGAACTGCTTCGTCGTCAAAAATGTCACTAAAAAGTAGAATTTTTACTTCTGTGGACTTGTTATGGATATCCATCAGGCTTTGACTATATTCCGAAACCGCCTCATCGTCAGAAATATCACTAAAATTAAATTTAGTCGTCATTTGAATTATTTAAATATTATTTGACTATATTCCGATCCGACACGTCTTCTTTATAAGAACTGTCACTGAAAAGTAGAGGTTTGCCTTGGGACCTTTGATCCGCAGCAGTCCTAGCTAGGTGTGACCAAGAAGTTATAACTTCTTGATTGAATACTGTTCTAGCGAGTTGACCTTCCACAACAAGTGCTTAGCAAAAATTGACCAAATTGGTCAGAAATTGCGTAATAACTTGGCGGGAGATGACCAGCGCACGTGGACGAGTTTATTCAATGTAACATCTCTATCTAGAGCGTGTTAGAGGGCCACTTTATTCGGCTTTAAGGGGCGTTTTAGGATGAAATGACAGTATTTTTTTCGCTGTATGTATGTCAAATAATACAATGAACACTGTCACCTCGTGGTGTTATGGGATATATCGCTCGGGTTATAGTGTATTTTCTCACACATAATGACTTATTCCTTGGCAAGAATGTAGTAAGCATCTGCAGGGGCGGATTCAGAGATATTTTCTGACAGTCTTCCAAATTATCTTTGTTGATCCATTCTTCATTTTTGACCGTCTTCCGACGGAAAAATTAGACACCTTTCAATGTAAACTTGAAAATCTGACCATCTTCTGGAAGACCCAGAAGACGGCCTAAATCCGCTCCTGATCTGCCTGGACTTTAGTTTCATTTTTTGCATGTATACAGCAAATACATTGGGTTTTACAAGGGTGTACACGTTTTATTTCTTAATCCATTTTATCATTAACAATCTCTAGGAAAACATCATATGCACCTAATCGTACACATCATCACTCATTAAACTTAGACTGCCTAGACAGATCTAACAGGATCAACCCATCTCCAAACAGTTTCTCGCTAAACTGCTTTAAGCTTAAGCGACCTAGATGTCTGGCATGCCTACTGAAGCTGCTAAACGATAATTAATAACCCCCTAGCAGCTTCAGTAGGCGTGACAGACATCTAAGCCGCTTAAGTTAATTGCAATTTAGCGGGAATCCCCTTGGAGATAGATCGATCCACAGTTAATACGATAGGGTTTGGGAATGGTCCCTAAAAGGCGTCACTCCAAACAGAAACTATAGGCTCCAGGCGGTCTCCTCTCCCGCCGCCATCTTCATCAGGTCAAAGGTCAGTTTAGCGTACTTGTGGGCGTGGCCGTCAGCCACAACGGTTCCTGCATAGTCGAGGTTGTAGCAGAGTCGGCTATTGACCCTCCAAAGGTTGTGAAAGAATAGCCTTGAACTGTCGTGAAGTGGATTAGAGCCGACAAGCCTTATGACACGGAGATGGTCAAAGTTTTTGAGAGGATCGTACCATTTGTCAAAGTCGCCGTGATATGCAGCACCAAAGTCATATTGCCGTCCTGGAAATACTATAAATCGTTTCATTGTTTTTTCATATGAAAAAAGACGGTGCATAATTTTGCAACCCAGAAGTACTTCGCCACTGGTAAGTTTGTCGTGGATTCCATCAGTCGCTTCTTTTGCCAGTTCCCAGAAGGTTCCATAGGTGGCAGCAGCAGGTGCCTTCAACTTGACGTCAGTTAGACTAATGCAGTAACCGAAAGAAGGCCGGAGATCTGGTGGCATAAATCGACGCATATCGATCGGATATGTCATCACCATTTTAATGGGGCGTGACTTGCTTTCTTTCTTTACAAGATTTGCCAAGGCTATGGCGCCACTAGCTAAAAGTGCACCAGTTACGGACACTCCGCGCACCTTGCACTTTGCCATTAAACGTTCCGTGTCAACTGTGGAGTGTTTTAAAGCCACTGTCTTTGTACAGCCATCCTTCATGGCGTATTGTGGACGAAATCGCTTTACGTACTGACTTCTATTTGGAAAAACGAATCGGCCAAAAGTCTTGGTCAGCTTTACATAACCCCCCAAACGAAATGCCGTATTCCTTGGCAGAAGCAAGTGAAAATACGGCTGAATTGATACAACATCATCACCATCGACTCTCTGTGGTCTTGCATTCAGTATATGCAGTATTCTTTCTGTTAGGAAAAATGCTGAAAATCCATCTGCTATCGCGTGGTGGACCCCAAAGACAAGTGCAGTTGTAAACGCATGCATATCACAAACGATCCGATCTTGTGGCAGGCGCATTACGTGTACTTTCTAAAGGGGCCCGTTCTCAGTGTCAAACCGCCAGCGTAATGTGTTTTCGTGGACTTCTTGCCACTCATCAGACGACAGGGTATTAGTGATTTCCCATTCGACGCGAGGATTGTCCATGCACTGAAAGTATCTTCGTCCTTCTCGGCATGCAATTTTTAGACGCAAGTGTGGTATACTTTTCTGAAGTTCGATAAAAGTTCTTTCCCAAACGTCATTTGTCAAGTATGTTGTAGAGGTTATCCAAGGGGTGAGAGTGGCTGTGTTTTTGTAAGACTCGTGCAGCTCAGCAAGCACGTTTTCGAACGCTCCCAGTGGGCGGATAATCTTAAGGCAGGAGGAGAACGTTTTTGTCGCCATTTCCTCTATAAAACCACTGGAATGAGAACTGATGCATGTATGTTTCTTGCCATAAAAAGGGACACCTGTCTTTGCATATTACATGTGCACGCACAGTGAAACACGTTTAGGCGGATTTTGATACCGGTATGTTCTTTAATCTTACACAGCGATAAACTAGGATGTGCGTCTTTGTTTTTTTTTTTCTTTTTTCGACGTGTGACCCATTTTCCTTAAATCACTGGTATTGATGAGGCTTTTATCATCTGTAAACCTGCGAAATAAAGTCAGTTTACTGACAATACAATAGGGCAGTCTGAGTGTGCTTAAACATTTTGAACTGTAAAACTCGCCATATGTGACATTGTTTGCCCGCAATGGAAAGAGCAGCACACCGATTTTACATGTCACCTGAAAATATACGTTTTAACTAATCCCTTGCGTTTGGGCATGCGTTATGTCTACTTAAAAGTAGACATCACGTGCAATTGCAAAGGAAGAAGGTTAAAATATTCAAGAAGATGTATTATAATTTTGATACTCCTGAGACAGAGAGGAGAGCAGAAAGACGTCGCCCAAATTTGATAATTACCCCCCTATGCGACTTATAAAATCTGTACTGAGTGCCAGGGTCACGTAACTCGAAAGCATCGCGCATTGCGAATAGCGATATTACATAGAGGCTACAGTGTATTATTTGGGGCGAATATGGGCGAGGTATGGGATCGAGACGCTTGCGCGAGGTCGCAATGCGCGATGCTTTCGAGTTACGGGCCCTGATATCTTTAGGCACGTGGAGCTTCTAGGTACTAAGTACCAGCCACCTCTGTGTTGACAGAACCAGTCGCCTGCATAACGTGTTTCAACTATGATTTCTGATTTTTGATATGCTCAACAAGCTGCCTTCTCGGGAATTCAGCATCCTTGTATTAGTTACATCATAGACGTATTAAAAGGCACTGTTACACTTAGCGTATATATGTAGCACAAACGTATGAGATGAAGTGCCCAAATGCAAGGGATTCGTTAGATTTACGTTGTATACAAGTCTCGAGTACAAACGTTGGTGTACGTTTGCATACGCGGACAAAAACATGTCTGTACGCTGCTTTTACCTTCTTTCTTATATGCTGTAAACAGGGTGAATTTATACACTCAAAGTTGTGCGTATAATCAGTCTCCCATATGTAGTCTACCCATATGTAAGGCCTACCTTTTTGCGCCAGGTGTGACAGAGCTATATTGCATTACGCAACATTCTATATATGATATTCACAGCATATAACACGTATTGAACTATTATATAGGGGTGTGACCTAGAAAAATATGCTTTAAATGGCTTTTAAAGGTTTTTGTTCCAAGACAAGTCATTACGATTGATGTGTGCTGCCATCTATATGTATTATATATGTAACTTTTTAACAGTAATTTTACAGTGTACTCGTAAAGGTACTTGCATGTATATTCTGCAATCCTGCGTGTCCAATTATCTGAATTTAAACAGTTTATTTTTGTTATTTACTTTCTCTACACAACCATGCATATGCATGTATTGGAACATGTACGTGAAAAAATTAGCTAAATATATTCTGCTGCACAAACCACGCAGAAACACTTTGTTTACGTTTCCTCTCCCCACTTGAAATGTGATGCCTATACCCACCGACCAAAAACTGTAAGTGGTTTACATACGTCGGCATGTCGATAGATGCATATGACAAAATAGGTACTAATGTAAATAAACAAGAATGAAAGCGATACATTTCAGTGGCAAGTTTCATTTCACAACATACATTTATGTATAAAAAATGAACCTAGAAATAATCATAATGGGATGATAAAAAAACAGGGTGGTATGAGAATGATTTTAGTAATCACGCTCGTCGAATCTGCAATCGTGCAAATTATCGGTTCTATACTGAAACCGATGGCCGTCAAAATGATTCCTTATAATTCATCATATCTCTTAAATTTGTGTTTTGAACTGATCATTATTATTTTTGGTTCTCTTTGGAAATATTTTGAACAAGGATTCAGTTTTAAGACTAACAAGATCGAGTTATAACCGTATGTTGTTTGAAATCTGCAAAACTTTATACCCTTAGCCAAAGCTCGCCTAGAGTTGTATAAAATAGAATATACAGTAGATGGCAGCACATCATTTATCAATATTATTAGAAACTTCCCGCGGCACAAGCGCTGCTCTTATGCAAACCTCTTTTCTTCTAGGTCAAAGTGCAAATATAGATCACCGTCGACTCACTGTACAGTGAATAACCCCACACGTTGACAAAAGCCGCGTCAACAAATCACCAATATATGTAAGCCGGGCTTACACGTTGCTAATAAACATTACACAATACAGCCTTCCCATGTACTGTATCAGGTAGGTCTTCGACCATTACGGATTCAAAGGGTACGTTTTATACACCTTCCCTGTACATTTTCCTCTACGCTTTAAGGCATTTTAATGGCTGCTATTCAGTGACAGAGCAGGTGTACTGATTAAGAGGCATGACGAACCAGTTATGTTGTATCGGTAAACCGTCGATGACGAGGGTCTTGCCTGTATGTTCAGTGACGCGCCCTGTGCTTTATCTTTCAGTACAATTGGTCTTTACCAGCCATGCTTGGACAGATCCTGCGCTTCAGAGGACAGGAGTGAGAGTTGTCAAAAACCCCTCCACATCTGTAGCCTAGGTACTTGTTTTAAGTGCGAATCGATATTTTATTGTTGTCTAACTAGTAAATGTACGTGATACAGGAAGGCAATTTATGCCCGGTTTAAACAGGGCTGCGACCCATTCACGGCCAAGGCAATGACGAGAACTAGTAACTCTCAGAGGTTCATGTACATGTATCTGTCGATCTCTGTTTTCTTCAGCTTTCACATTATTTCCTAAACCAGCAATTACATCCAAATAAATTCTGATAATACCGGGCTTGTGATAGCTTGGAGAACGAGTTTTTTATCCTCTGGATATCATGATATTGAACTAGTGTTGAAAGGGGTATTTTTGCTTGTTTGTTAATAGTAGTAATAGTGTATTATTATCGATTCTAGGACAATTCCCCCCCCCGGACAATTCCCCCCCCCGGACTATTCTCCCCGGACAATTCCCCCCCGGACAATTCCCCCCCCAGGACAATTTCCCCCCGGACGATTCCCCCCCNCCCCACCTCTCCCTAGAGATGCACCTTGATTCAAGACTTACTGAATCAAGGGGGGGGGGGGGAGAAATAAAGCAATTAAAAGTAACAGTAAATTCATCAAAGGGCTACCTGGATGAGTGAGATCATCTGTTTACCCCTCCTTTACCTGGAGATACATATTTAATAAAATGTTCTGTACTTCTATCTCGAAAATTTCATGTACTTGAACTCCAAGAAAATAAATTGTTTAATAGAATTAATATTATCTATCCTTGATTTGCATCATCACACTAAGAAATATTCAAAAATGGATGAAAAGAACTTTGAACTTTGTATTCTTTACTTTATATATATATATATATATATATATATATATATATATATATATATATATATATATATTCTTCGGGGGGAATCGTCCGGGGGGGAATAGTCCGGGGGGGAATTGTCCGAGGGGGAATTGTCCTGATACCATTATTATCCTATTGCATTTTTATGTTTCTTCACATTTTCCTTTGTTTATATGGGTTTCCGTTATAAACTTAGACGTCTCTCAGTTTGAATCGAAGAATTGCATTTAACTGCTTAGTTAAAATTTCAAGATATTCTTTTCTTGTTTCAGTTAACGTGATTCAAATGGAAAGTGACAATGTCCGCAAAAAGATGCCATTCACCTTCTACCACGAGGACCCTTCGCTCTCTTGGACACTACGAGAACTTGCTAGCCGCAATGCATGAGTGCAAGAACACAACGGTTGCCTTCACCTCGTGGATTAACTCAAAACTCTTCCTCTCTGACGATGTTTGGAAAACCTCCCTTCAGCTGCTCCAGAAAAACATCCCGCATCTTCGTCTTAACATAGAATGGCAAGACGGCAAAAGGTACTTCAAGTATATGGACGACCCCTATGTGGATATGGAGATCGTGGATGTGACGTCAGACGACGACTGGAAGATGGTGCACGAGGATATGATGCGCGTGCAATTTCTGAAAGAAAATGCCCCTCTTTGGAGGGTAAAAATTTTGCGCATGCTCAGACCAAGTGACATCTCCCACAACTCGGACTATAGATCATATGCACTTAATGGGTATCCATCATTTGTAGTGTTTGGCATTCATCACGTTATTTTGGATGGAACATCTTATATATTGATGTTAAAGAAGCTACTTCAATACCTCAACGCAGTTTCAAAAGACGACCCCATTGAGAAGGACGAAGTCGTCACATTCCATCGAAACATGGAGGCACTCTTGCCCCAAGACCAGATGGTATTCAAGTGGACAGACTATTATAAAGTGTTAAAAGAAAGAATACACAGTTTGTTTCCGTACCACAGTCCGTGCATGAAGCGTTTTCCACCACCACCAAATTCAGGCGAGGAATATACAAAGACAGTAGCTTTGGAATTCACAATTTCAGAGACGGAAAGACTCATAGCAAAGTGCAAAGAACACCAGACAACTGTCCATGGTGCCTTGGTGGCTGCTGCGTCGATTGCCCTTGTTAATGCCATTAATGCAGGAGCTACGCCACGACCAGCAGACGTCCCTACCTCCCACGCTGTTAATATGCGACGTTTCATGCCACCCGAGTTTCAAAATGCGTTCGGGCTTTTCTTTGGCTTGACGAACATAACAGTGAGTGTTCCTGCTGTTGCCACTTATCAATCGTTTTGGGAACTAGCCAAAAGCTCAAAACATGCACTTCACGCAAATTTAAACAACGGAAATGTGATACAGGGTTGTAAAATCCGCGGCCATCTTTTACCAGACGATAACAGTGTAAAAGGATTGCTAGCATCTGATCAGTGCAAATATGATATGGGTACATCAAACATAGGAGACTGTGACAAGCATTGTCCTCCTGGAGAAGCAGACGATAATGTTCACGCCACGAGAATCGTCACTTCCGCCGCAATGCAGAATTTGTCAAAATTGTTTTATCATTACTTGCACAAATTTCGAGGTCGCTTCTGTTACAATCTTGACTATGGGACCAACTGGGTTTGCGAAGTGAACGCCATTAAGCAAGCTGAAATGACAGTGGAGCTGATGAAAATGGCTGCAGGGGAGGAGAAATATTAGAAATAATTAAGAAATAAACTTGCGAAGTATTTGTTTTGTGCAGTAGGTCATTTAAGTTACAGAGGGTTTTAAAGATTGATATAGTAGAGAAAAGGAGACTGAGGAAAAAGAGAAAAAATAATGGCTCAAAATGGACTGAAACATTTTATGAGAGCCCATCAACATTAAAAAGAAAAAATAATAATAGCTTTGAGACTAGATTGTGTAATTTTTGCACTTGTACATAGCTATGTACAAATGTATTGGTACATAAATTAAACTGAATATATTGAAACGCACGCCCACTTCGCGATGTTGTTCGGGATCGGAGCGGATGTTGCGATCCTGTGGGAAAACATATCTCAAGCTAATGTCAAGTGTCTGGATTTCTGTTCAATATTAATTAAAATCAAAAAATAAAAATTAAATATAGTAAATAATGTTACCATGCGTTAAAGTTATAATGCAAGCAATTTATAAATACTGATCATGCTCGAGTCTCTGATTTCGGTATCTCTTTCAAAGTTCTGGTGTTTCAGTCTTCTGATCACAATGTTCTGTGATGTTCTTCTGAGATCTTTCGCTGGGTTGGTTCGTCAAAGTTCAGGTAGCGTTTCGCCGAGCTTTTGTTGGTGTGAATGTAATTTCTCCTTAACATTTCCAAACTTCACATTTACAAAGCTTTTTTCTATTTTTTTTCCAGAAGAATGTATTTTCTAGTAAAGAAATAGTGATTTATTCAAGCGGTCCTAAGGAGTGAACGCGTCTCCGTACCCTTAGCCAAAACTCGCCTAGCGTTGTATAATATAGAATATAGATGGCAGCACATATCACAAATCAAAACTATTAGAGACTTGTCTTGACACAAGAGCTGCTCTTAATTAAATCTTTTTTTCTAGGTCACAGTGCAAATATGTATCACCGTCGGTTCACTGTACTGTGAATAGTACTTTGAATAGCAACACACGTTGGACAAATGCTGCGTTAATGGACTTCAATATAGGCCTATGCCGTGCATAATATGCTGATAATACACAGTACATGTCTCAGGTAGGTGTTTGACCATTACGGGTTCAAAAGGTACATGTACATCTATTCCATAGTGCACCTTCCCTGTACATTTCTTCTACTGTTGTAGACATTTTAATGGCTGCTATTCATTGTCAAAGCAGGACTACCGATTTAGAGGCATGATAAACCAGTTACATTGAAATCGGTCGACGACAAGGGTCTTGACAGTATGTCCACGTGACGCGTCCTGTGATATATAAGTACCGGTATTAGTGGCCTTTAATAACCTTGCTAAGACAGATCGAGCGTTTACGAAGAGAGGGTTGAGGGAAGTTGTCAAACACTACTCCGCATCTGTTGCCTACTTGTAGCCTAGAGCAAACTGATCCTGTATTGTTGTACATAATGTACTAGTATATGTACTTGAGACTGGAAGGCAATCAACGTCCTGTTTCAACAGGGCTGCGACCCATTCACGACCACGGCAATCACGAATACAACTAAGTGTCAGAGGTATGTGTCGTTCTCTGCTGTCGTCATTTTTCTCGCTTTTTATCAGAACCAGGTTTGTGATAGATTGCAGAACGAGTTTTTTCATACTTTGGATATCACGATATTGAAGTAGTGTTGAGTTTTTTTCGTTGTTAATAGTAAGCTTTGTTGAAAGGACCTAAAGTAATCAATAATGACGTCTTCGCTATTGCCTTTGCAGTTGCTATTTTTTTAATATTCTTTACTTGAAGCCGGCTTTATAGTCTGATTTATTGCACGGCATTTCCAATATATCAACATTTACACGATTGACGTCTGCTTTATAACTCAATTCACATTGCTGGTCTTAAGTGATAAGACATGAGCGTGTATACACATTTAACTGGTTGTTTGTGACCTGTGAGATTAAACTTCCTTTCTCTCTCTCTCTCTCTCTCTCTCTCTCTCTCTCTCTCTCTCTCTCTGTGCGTGTGTGCGTATGTGTGTGCAAGTGCCCTGTCGTGTCATGGATATAAATAAAACGAACGTTTAACCTTTTGCAAGCCAAACACGAATCTCCCTTGAAACTTGAACATTGTGCAGTTTTAGTCATTTCCATATTGGAGAAGATGACTAATGATTGGTGCACAATTGTATTAACTGTGTATTCTATTATTGTCCAACACGTTTTCCCCTTGTTCATTTCGGTTTTCCGTTAAAAACTGAGTATGAGTAAAAAAACTACACTGAACCGCTTAGTTTAAAATTTTAGGATTTTTTTTAAATATTTCAGTTAACGTGACTCGAAAGGAGAGGTTACAATGGCAGCACAAACATTCCTTTCGCCTTCTGCCAAAAGGATCCTTCGCCCTCTTGGAAACTTCGAGAATGTGCTGGCCGCAATGCATGAGTGCAAGAACACAACAGTTGCCTTCACCTCGTGGATAAACTCAAAACTCTTCCTCTCTGACGATGTTTGGAGGACCTCACTTCAGCTGCTCCAGAAAAACATCCCGCATCTTCGTCTTAACATAGTATGGAGAGACGGCAAGAGGTATTTCAAGTATATGGACGACCCCCATGTGGATTTTGGGATCTTGGATGTGACGTCAGACGACGACTGGAAGACGGTGCACGAGGATATGATGCGCGTGCAATTTCTAAAAGAAAATGCCCCTCTTTGGAGGGTAAAGATCTTGCGCATGCCCAAACCAAGAGACGTCACCTACAAAGCGGACTTTAGCTCGTATGCACTTAATGGGTATCCAACAGTAGTAGTGTTTGGCATCCATCACTCTATTTTGGATGGAACATCTTATGTATTGATGTTAAAGAAGCTACTTCAATACCTCAACGCAGTTTCAAAAAACGACACCACAGAAAATGACGAAGTCGTCACATTCCATCCGAGCACGGAGTCTCTCTTGCCCCAAGACCAGATGGTATTCAAGTGGACAGACTATTTCCAAGTGATAAAAGAAAAAATACACAGCTTATTTCCGTACCACAGCCCGTACTTGAAGCGTTTTCCGCCACCGCCAAATTCAGACGAAGGATATACGAAGACAGTAGCTTTGGAATTCACAATTTCAGAGACGGAAAGGCTCATAGCAAAGTGCAAGGAACACGAGACAACTGTTCATGGTGCCTTGGTGGCTGCTGCGTCGATTGCCCTTGTTAATGCCATTAATGAAGGAGCTACGCCACGACCAGCAGATGTCCCTACCTCCCATGTTGTTAATATGCGACGTTTCATGCCACCCGAATTTCAAAATGCGTTCGGTGCTTTTGTTGGTTTAACGTACTTAACGATGAGTGTTCCTGCTGCTGCCACTTATCAATCATTTTGGGAACTAGCCAAAAGCTCAAAGCAGACACTTCATGCAAGTATAAACAACGGAGATGTGATACAAGGTTGTAAAATCCGCGGCCATCTTTTACCAGACGATAACAGTGTTAAAGGATTGCTAGCATCTGATATATGTAAATATGATATAGGTACATCAAACATAGGAGACTGTGATAAGCGTTGTCCTCCTGGTGAAGCAGACGATAATGTTCACGCCACGAGAATCGTCACCTCCACCGCGATGCAGAACTTGTCCAAACTGTTTTACCATTACTTGCACAAATTTCGTGGTCGCTTCTGCTACAATCTTGACTATGGAACCAACTGGGTGTGTGAAGTGAACGCCATTAAGCACGCCGAAATGACAGTGGAGCTGATGAAAATGGCAGCAGGGGAGGAGAAATATTGGAAATAATTAAGAAAAAAACTTGCGAAGTATTTGTTTTGCGCTGTAGGTCATTTTTGTTACAGAGGGCTTTAAAGATTGATAAAGTAGAGAAAAGGAGACTGAGGAAAAAGAGAAAAAATATTTACTCAAAATGGACTGATGGAAGCCCATTAACAGTTATAAGAAAAACTTGAACAATATATTTGAGACTAGATTGAGTAATTTTTGCATTTGTATATAGCTACATGTATGCACACGAATGCACTGGTACATAAATTAAACTGAATATATTGAAACGCAGGCCACTCCGGCGTCGATGCAGCCCGAATGGGGCGACTCAATCTTGTGCGGGATTGGGGCGGATATTGCGATCCCGTGGGAAAGTATATCTCAAGTTAATGACAATAGTGGATTTCCGTTCAAATATCTGTTAAAAAAAGAAAAATAAAATGACAAACATAACAAATTATGTTACATGCGTTATAGTTTGGTTAGCACTTTATAAATACTGAACCTCTGATTTCGGTGTCTCTTTCAAAGTCTTAGACCAGTGTTCTGGTCACAGTGTTCTGTAATGTTCCTCTGAACTCTGTAGTTGCGAAGATTAAAGTCACTTAAGGTTCCTCAAAGTTCAGGTAGCGTTTCACCGAGCTCAACTGCTTCACAAAGCANGCGAGCTCAATTGCTTCACAAAGCACACTTAAATTATTAGTAGTGTTAATTCAAATTCAAACAGTAGACCACAACTGTGAAGACAAAGTTAGTCTTTAATTTCTACGACAACGTCTTTAGTAGCTTCCGGACCATTGGTATGGCCTATCGTCTGGTCCGGAAATGCTGTAGATGGCAGCACATATCACTAAATATTACTATAGACTTGTCTTGGCACAAGAGTTGCTGTTAATGAAAAAAAAAAAACAACATTTTTCTAGGTCACAATGCAAATATAGATCACCGTCGATGCACTGTACTGTGAATAACACCATAAATGCTGCGTAAATGGAACACCAATATAAGCCGTGCTCTACATAATACGCTGATAATGTACAGGGCGTGTACGTGATGCAGCCTTCCAATGTTTCAGGTAGGTGTTCGACTATTACGGATTCAAAGGGTACTTGTAAGTCTATTTTATACAGCTTCCCTGTACACTTCTTCTACTATTTGAGAGAGTTCAATGGCTGCTATTCAGTGACAAAGCAGGACTAGTGATTTACAGGCATGACGAACCAATTACACTGTATATAGTAAACGGTCGACGACAAGGGTCGTGACTGTATGTCCACGTGACGCATCGTATGATATATTAAGCCCCCTTTATCCTGGACGGCGTCCTTTGTGCCTCCTTTCTCAGACCCCTGTGATGTCAGTTTTCACGGTCGCACAAAGGACGCAGAGAGGACGCCGTCTAGTGTAAAGGGGGTTTAGTATTAGAAGTCTTTAGCAACCTTGTATAGACAGATCAAGCGTTCAAGGAAAGAGAGGGTTGAGAGGTATTGTCAAAAAGTACTCAACATCTGTTGCATACTTGTTGCCAATAGCAAACTTACGCTGTATTGTTGTATAATGTACTAGTATATGTACTTGGGACTGGATGGCAATCAACGTTCTGTTTCAACAGGGCTGCGACCCATTCACGACCATGGCAATCACAAATACAACTAGGTGTCAGATATAAATATATAAGCAGAGAACGATATATATATATATATATATGTCGTTCCCTGCTTTCGTCACTTTTTCCCTTTTTTTCAGAACGAGGTTTGTGACAGATTACAGAACGATTTTTTTTCATACTTTGCATATCATGATATTGAACTAGTGTTGAAAGTTTTTTTACGTTGTGATTGTGAGTTTTGTTGAAAGGGTCAAAAGTAATCAATAATGACGTCTGCACCATGGCCTTTGCAGATGCTTGTTTTTTATACCCTTTACTTGAAGCCAGCTTTATAGTCTAATTTATTGCACGGCATTGCCAATATGTCAACGTTTACACGATTGACGTCTGCTTTATTACTCAGTTCACATTTGTTTGCTGCATGGTCTTTAATGATAAGACATGAGCCATTGAGTGTATACACATTAAACTGGTTGTTTGTGACCTATAACATTAAACATATAACATATAAGATTAAACTTTCTCTCTGTCTCTCTCTCTCTGTGCGTATGTGTGTGCAAGTGCCCTGTCGTGTCATGAAAAATAAATACAACAAAGGTTTAACCTTTTGCAAGCCTAACATGAATCACTCTTGCAACTTGAACATTGTACATCTAATCCAAAAACTCTGGAAAATTATGACCGATCTTAAAATTTCTAATTTTTAGTCACTTTCATACTGGAGAAGATGACTGATGATAGGTGCACAATTGCATTAACTGTGTATTCTATTATTATCTTGTTCCACTGTTTCATAATGTTTTTCAACATATTTTCCCTTTGTTTATTTCGGTTTTCCGTTCATAACTTACACGTCTCTGAGTATGAATCGAAAAACTACATTGAACCGCTTAGTTTAATTTTTTTTATTTCAGTTAACGTGATTCGAATTAGAAGTGATATATAATGTCAGCACAGGCAAACCTTTTGCCTTCTACCAAGAGGATCCTTCGCCCTCTTGGACACTTCGAGAATGTGCTGGCCGCAATGCATGAGTGCAAGAACACAACAGTTGCCTTCACCTCGTGGATAAACTCAAAACTCTTCCTCTCTGACGATGTTTGGAAAACCTCACTTCAGCTGCTCCAGAAAAACATCCCGCATCTTCGTCTTAACATAGAATGGCAAGACGGCAAGAGGTATTTCAAGTATATGGAAGACCCCTATGTGGATATTGAGATCTTGGATGTGACGTCAGACAACGACTGGAAGACGGTGCACGAGGATATGATGCGAGTGCAATTTCTAAGAGAAGATTCCCCTCTTTGGAGGGTAAATATTTTGCGCATGTCCAAATCAAGAGACGTCACCTACAAAGTGGACTCTAGCTCGTATGCATCTAATGGGTATCCAACAGTTGTAGTGTTTGCCATCCATCACTCTATTTTGGATGGAACATCTTATATACTGATGTTAAAGCAACTAATTCGATATCTCAACGCAGTTTCGAAAAACGACCCCATTGAGAATGACGAAGTCGTCACATTCCATCCAAACACGGAGTCTCTCTTGCCCCAAGACAAGATGGCATTCAGGTGGACAGACTATTACCAAGTGATAAAAGAAAGAATACGAAGTTTATTTCCGTACCACAGCCCGTACTTGCAGCGTTTTCCGCCACCACCAAATTCAGGCAAAGGATATACGAAGACAGTAGCTTTAGTGTTCACAATTTCAGAGACAGAAAGGATTATTGCAAAGTGCAAAGAACACCAGACAACTGTTCATGGTGCCTTGGTGGCTGCTGCTTCGATTGCCCTTGTAAATGCCATTAATGAAGGAGCTACGCCACGACCAGTAGATGTCCCTACCTCCCACGCGGTTAATATGCGACGATTCCTGCCACCCGAGTTTCAAAATGCGTTCGGTCTTTTCATTGGCTTAACGTACATAACAGTGAGTGTTCCTGCAGTTGCCACTTACCAATCATTTTGGGGATTGGCCAAACGCTCAAAACAGACACTCCACGCGAGTTTTCACAACGGAGATATGATTCAGGGTTGTAAAATCCGCGGCCATCTTTTACCAGACGATAACAGTGTGAAAGGATTGTTAGCATCTGATAAGTGTAAATATGATATGGCTACATCCAACATAGGAGACTGTGACAAGCATTGTCCTCCTGGTGAAGCAGACGATAATGTTCACGCCACGAGAATTGTCACCTCCACCGCGATGCAGAATGTGCCCAAACTGTTTTATCATTACCTGCATAAATTTCGTGGTCGCTTCTGTTACAACCTTGACTATGGGACCAACTGGGTTTGCGAAGTGAACGCCATTAAGCACGCCGAAATGACAGTCAAGCTGATGAAAATGGCAGCAGGGGAGGAGAAATATTGGAAATGATTCAGCAATAAACTTGTACAGTGTTTCTTTTGCGCAATATAAGTTACACAAATAGATTGTAAAGATTGATGCCGCAGAGAGACGGAGGCTGAAGAAAATAGGAAAAACATTGGCTCAAAATGGACTTCACCATCCAATGGGACCCCATCAACAGCAAAAAGAAAGACTTGAACTGTAACTTTGAGATTACTTTGAGTATTATTCGCAATTGTACATAGCTTTGCACACAATGTACTGGTACATAAATTAAACTGTATATATTCAGATGCACCAACAACTACGACTCGGAGTTATTGCATAACACTTGATATAATGTGATCACGTTTAACTCGGCAACTGCCGTAAAAAACGCTGGGCGTTATCATTGGAAGAAGCATCTGCATTGCATCAGCACCAAGTTTTGGTTGAAAATACAATATCAATCACTGACCACAATTTTGACATTTTACATAGATGTATATTGAATAAGCCCTGGTATAAAGCTGGTAAAACTTTGGGATTGACTTAATTTAAACAAACAATTATTTGTGTTTACTGTTAATTTTGGGAAAACTGCATTAAGCGAAGTGTTTGAACTATGTTAATGTTGTAACAGTTGTATTCATTATAATTTAACTTTTCGTGAATAAAATCATTTAGCACAATTCAGAAATGAGAAGATAATGCAAAATACGAGAATAAAAAACTGTTTATTTGATTCTATAATATAATATAAATCTCTCCTTCCAATACATCACATCAGAAACCAAATGAAACCGCTACATTCAATGGTAATACCCTCTTTTTCATTACATTCAGGTAACGCATAGATATACAAGTACTTGAATGGCACACAAACACAGTTGTTAAACTTTGTTTACAATGAAAGTAAGTTGTCCCACTGCTTTCCAAAAGCTGAATATATCAGATAACAAAAAAATAATAAAAATAAATAAATAATATCATCTTGTAACAAACTTTTAATCTGAAATCAAACCCTCAACGAGGGTTGAGTCTTAGTAGTCATAAAAAAGGTAAAATTATGAGTTTCTGCTAAAATGGTAAAAGCAGTAAGAATCATCTGGAAAAACTGAAATGAAAATTGGAATTAATGTATTGCGTATGGTTTAATGTCTTCAATAAATTGTTCTTCAACCCTGCATGTAAACATGAAAGGTTATAGAATCAAACCAATTAAATAAGGCTGTGTATATACATATCCAGGTAACTTTCTGGATTTCAGCATTCAATTCAACAAGAAATGTTCCCTTTCATTTGCTAAAAAAGAACATATCAAATATGCATCAATATACCATTGTATCAAAAATAGTATAAATGTATACATAATTATATATACGTTTGTAAATATTAGGTATCAAAATGTACATAAGTTTAAGATCATATAAAAATACACAGTCACAAATTGTAAAATCTTCACTAAAACTAAAATTTTTTTCATTTGGCAAATCATTGTACAATGCACATGTTCAACAGTGAAGACCCTTTGGTAATCTATGGACTAGTCTGCCAAGAACAGTTGTAGCGCTATATATGAAAAACATATAAATATTATATTTATAATAAAAATTGGGCTGTTTATCTAAACACATCAAGTTTCATGTGAAAGTCTTTGAAGCAAAATGAATAATGAATCCAGGGACTGCTTCATAAAGGAACTTAGGTCCAAACCTTTGTCTAAGCTTTGAGACAAAGGCCCCGTTCACATGACAAGTCTATTTTCTAAAAATCTATTTTCTATTCGCGGTATCTTGTGATCACGGTCTGTGCCCTGAATACCCCGTGACGTAATTACTGGCAGCGCGAGCCAGTTACTTCCAAAGCTGTTATTAATTCTGGGCTGCCCTCGGAGTGATCACAAGATACTGCAAATAGAAAATAGATTTTTAGAAAATAGATTTTTCATGTGAACAGAGTCAAAAAGTTTTGGGCTAGTTTGAAAAGCTTGAAGTTTCAAACCAACCCTTGATCTTATTGAAGTGGACAACTATGGGTTTGTCAAAAAGTAGACCACATTTTTGTCAATTTTTTTTTAAATTTCAGATTCAATTAATTCTTGAAACCAGCCCCTGTAGATTACTTTATATTTGCTGTAAATTCACGATATCATTGTAGCATCCTCTACTTCAACCATGAGCACCTCCTGAAATCTTAAAATGCTAAAAAAAGTTTTACAAATTGAAGCTAATCAAAACAAAGAAGTGTCATCTGCTTTAAACCAAAAGCAATGCCTGAAATAACTAGAGGATCAGAGNGCATCCTCTACTTCAACCATGAGCACCTCCTGAAATCTTAAAATGCTAAAAAAAGTTTTACAAATTGAAGCTAATCAAAACAAAGAAGTGTCATCTGCTTTAAACCAAAAGCAATGCCTGAAAAAATAAATTACTGAGGATTATGTATAACAGAATAAATTAACGAAATATATCACAAAAATATACGACCAATGGCACCAGGGAAATATGGAAAGGTTATCGAGGCATAGACTTCCTTTGGACTGAAAACTAAACACAATAAAAATATTAGATGTCTGACACAAAAATGAATTGGTAAATTAATAAAACTCACAATATATGAGGACCAGCATCTGTAAGAAATATATATTAGCAAAAAAAAAAAACAAACTCTTGGCACATTCTTCAAACACGAGAATTAACAGTCATAAATAAATTCCAACAATTTCAAAATGTGTAATGCTTAACTACAATATGAATTGTTTTATACAGAACAGTGTTAACTACATATCTGTTTACATTAAAACCATGGTGACACTTGACAATTTTCAAACTTGGTAAAAAAAAAAAAAAAAAGAAAAGAAAAAAAAAAAAGAGCAGCTCATCATGCCTGGCAACTCACAAGGTTTCCCTTCAGTGTAGAAAATAGCACCATGACAACTAATCTATAATATTTATCACATAATTTTTTTCACAACCATTCATAAAGTGCCTGCTCACTTTGGAAAGGTCTAATAATATATACATTATACATAACATGGATATACAAAGTGAAACATTATGTTTGAGGAAGGCCGTATAAGACAATGTCTTCAAATCACCAATTATATTATGTCTTACAAATGACCAATCAAATTATACACTGCCTCTCACATTTGACCAATAACCTTATAACATGTTTTACTTTTGGCAAATCATATCACATCATGTTTACATCTAACCAATCACGTTTCACCATAATGACACAACCAATCAGGTGACTGTTCATCTTGCGAGCACAAGACCAACACAAAACACAGTACAGCAAAATGTATCTTTAAAAACCTCATTTTTCAATAAAGTGAATATATGTTCATGTACTACAATTGTTTGCAAACAACTGGTAAATTAACAGCAAATAATTGCTTAAGCACAATTGAGTATTTAAGACATTTTTTGGTTTTCATGTTATTTTTATCTATTCTTAATTCGACCAATATTTATCTTATATGTTTACTTCTTCAGATGAAAATGATATTTAGGATATCTGTATTTGAGTATTTTTCTAAAAACAATTGCAATATGTTGCCATGATTTAATTGCAAAGTGAAGAGTCCAAATTTTTGTAAATAACAATATTATTAAATTTTCCACTAGAAAAAATCACTTTGTCTAAGACACATTACTCTAACACCGAACTGGGGGAAAAAAAAAACTTTCACAAGACACGAAAGTAAATGAAAACTGGACTCGAAGATTTACCATATCAGCCTATATGTGTGCATATGTACATTCGAACCCTTCAAAATCTACACCACCATAATGCATTACAACATATAGGCATTCTAGAACTGCACCGAGCAGCACTTATACAATCAAAATGACATCATTGGGGTTAAAGACCTTAAGAGACTATTCACATTTTGATATCAATTAACTTCTGAAGAAACTTTAAGTGTCGCTGCAATACCTGTAAACTGTAAACCACAAACACGTCAAAGACATCCTATCTGGCATATTTTGAACTTCTAGTCCCCCCCATCCCTTTCCACAAAATAATTATATGTTCTGTTGTACTGTATTTTACGACCAATCACCACTTCATGCTAAAAAACATAATGACTAAACACGAATATGTTAACAAATGTTCATTTAACAAACCTGTGTATTCCCCACAGATGAGTATTTATTTATGACAAGGCTCAACTACTACTAGTAGCAATAAAATCTAAACATAATCCTTTACAACAACTAAAACAATAATCAATATTGTCAAGGCTCCATCTGTTCTCAGTTTTATTTCTATTTCTTGAATTGATCTATTCATTGTATTCCAACACTGACAACTCTGTCAATGTTNGAGGAGAAGCGGTAACGGTAGCCGTCCGGCGGAGCCGGCAGAGCCGGCGGAGCCGGCGGAACGATCCGGACGAGACCGAAACCATGTGTACCGCCAGCGCTAACGCTGGTGGTACAATAAATTACTGAGGATTATGTATAACAGAATAAATTAACGAAATATATCACAAAAATATACGACCAATGGCACCAGGGAAATATGGAAAGGTTATCGAGGCATAGACTTCCTTTGGACTGAAAACTAAACACAATAAAAATATTAGATATCTGACACAAAAATGAATTGGTAAATTAATAAAACTCACAATATATGAGGACCAGCATCTGTAAGAAATATATATTAGCAAAAAAAAAAAAAAAAAAAAACTCTTGGCACATTCTTCAAACACGAGAATTAACAGTCATAAATAAATTCCAACAATTTCAAAATGTGTAATGCTTAACTACAATATGAATTGTTTTATACAGAACAGTGTAAGCAACGTATCTGTTTACATTAAAACCATGGTGACACTTGACAATTTTCAAACTTGGTAAAAAAAAAAAAAAAAAAAAAAGGAGCAGCTCATCATGCCTGGCAACTCACAAGGTTTCCCTTCAGTGTAGAAAATAGCACCATGACAACTAATCTATAATATGTATCACATAATTTTTTTCACAACCATTCATAAAGTGCCTGCTCACTTTGGAAAGGTCTAATAATATATACATTATACATAGCATGGATATACAAAGTGAAACATTAAGTTTGAGGAAGGCCGTATTAGACAATGTCTTCAAATCACCAATTATATTATGTCTTACAAATGACCAATCAAATTATACACGGCCAATTACATTTGACCAATAACATTATAACATGTTTTACTTTTGGCAAATCATATCACATCATGTTTACATCTAACCAATCACGTTTCACTTTAATGACACAACCAATCAGGTGACTGTTCATCTTGTGAGCACAAGACCAACACAAAACACAGTACAGCAAAATGTATCTTTTAAAACCTAATTTTTCAATGAAGTGAATTCATGTTCATGTACTACAATTGTTTGCAAACAACTGGTAAATTAACAGCAAATAATTACTTAAGCACAATTGAGCATTTAAGACATTTTTTGGTTTTCATGTTATTTTTATCTATTCTTAATTCGACCAATATTTATCTTATATGTTTACTTCTTCAGATGAAAATGATATTTAGGATATCTATATTTGAGTATTTTTCTAAAAACAATTGCAATATGTTGCCATGATTTAATTGCAAAGTGAAGAGTCCACATTTTTTAAATAACAATATTATTAAATTTTCCACTAGAAAAAATCACTTTGTCTAAGACACATTACTCTAACACCGAACTGGGAGGGAAAAAAACTTTCACAAGACACGAAAGTAAATGAAAACTGGACTCGAAGATTTACCATATCAGCCTATATGTGCGCATGTGTACATTTGCACCCTTCAAAATCTACACCACCATAATGCATTACAACATATAGGCATTCTAGAACTGCACCAAGCAGCACTTATACAATCAAAATGACATCATTGGGGTTAAAGACCTTAAGAGACTATTCACATTTTGATATCAATTAACTTCTGAAGAAACTTTAAGTGTCGCTGCAATACCTGTAAACTGTAAACCACAAACACGTCAAAGACATCCTATCTGGCATATTTTGAACTTCTAGTCCCCCCCATCCCTTTCCACAAAATAATTATATGTTCTGCTGTACTGTATTTTGCGACCAATCACCACTTCATACTAAAAAACATAATGACTAAACACGAATATGTTAACAAATGTTCATTTAACAAACCTGTGTATTCCCCACAGATGAGTATTTATTTATGACAAGGCTCAACTACTACTAGTAGCAATAAAATCTAAACATAATCCTTTACAACAACTAAAACAATAATCAATATTGTCAAGGCTCCATCTGTTCTCAGTTTTATTTCTATTTCTTGAATTGATCTATTCATTGTATTCCAACACTGACAACTCTGTCAATGCTTAACTGTTGCTTTGTATACCCAAAGCAGAAAAATTGTCCAGACACATAAATCTCTTGAAATCTGTCTCTACAATTACACATTATAGACAGGACAATGTCCTCTTAAGCAATATACAGTTTATTATCCCTCTTAATATCATCAAGTCTGAGAAATGTTCCAGAAATGCTGTCACCATTAGGTTTACACTGGGATATACTCAGAGACATCGTCAAAGTGATAAAGTGACAATGACATCGATAACTGACATTGAAAAATGATAAATACGTACAATTCTCAAATCTACTGATCTCAAATAATTCATCATCTCAAAAATAGTCTGAAACAGTTCCAAGCAAATCCAAAGTTCCAGATGTTTTTTTCTTTTTTTGTTTTTTAAACTTTTTTGTCAGTTACTGTATTTTGGAATCGGTGTATAATTTGGGTTGCCTTCTGTGTCTGCTTGCAATTGTTTGTATTTGCTACAATAAAAGGTCAATAAAAGCTCAAATAATTTGTGTCACACAAGTTTCCATAACTTCGATTAAGGTTATAAATCACCCTACAGATTTTTATCAGTATATAATACTTATATTTAGTAAATTCTTTCTTATGCTTACAATTTTTAATTGCATTCTATTCGCCACAAATAGAAATCTGGACATGCCTTTATACTTTACACTGCTTAATGTGTTTGCCACAACAAATCAAACAAAAAATTTAAACCAAAAGACTTAAAAATTAAAGCAAACCTTTCCAACAATTTGACCTGAAGAGTATTGCTTTTGAATTAGAAATAATAAAAAACATCAAATACAGAATGCTTGTAAGATGGCATGAAAGCTCTGAAGAACAATTTGAGCTTTTATTGGTCCTGAAAGTCCCAGTCCAGCTTGCTGTGTGAGATGTCATTCTGTAGGTCTTGTACTGTGTTGTTTGTAATAAAAAATCTCTACCTAAACTGGATCTAATCTCTCTAATAAGTAAAGTAATGAACATTACTAAATCTATGCTTAACTATTTTCTTGTCAAAAAAATTTTTGGGGTACATTGTATTTTCATTAAAATAAGAAAAGGTTTGATAAAATGATGAGGTCTAATAAACAATTATCAAATGAAAATCAGTTGAAACTGTTGTTTTAATAATTATTTATCCATGAAAATGTGTTTAACATGTGATGGTTGCACAACAGTGTGGTGGGAAGTATGTCAAAAACGATATTTGTTGAAATATCATGCCATTTACCTGTGACTTTATATGTAGTGTGTAACCGAGCAGAATGCTGTTTGTAAATCATTCTAAATCAAAACCAGTTTAAAGTCATTGTGCTGTATTTGCCATTCACAGACAAAAATGAAGATTTCAAAATTTGAATTAGGAAATGAGTAGGGTGGGGTGGAGGATGTTATCTATTCAACAAATTCCTCTGGGTTCTTTAAGCTTATGGTTTTGCACATACAACTTCTAAGCTAAATCCAAATGTAAAATATGTTTTTATATTAAAGAATGACACATAAAATATCACGTTTTTAGTAAGATCTAAATTTTTTGCGTTAAAAATAAATAGATTCTCTCACTTAAAACCTGTCTTAGAAAACTATTAAAATTTGGGAATTCATCTGGTCAAAAATGTTTAGCATTTATTGGTGTTTTAATCTATTTAATATTATAAAATTTTATATTCAGAGATCAGCGATATATTGTTTTACTAAATAATCTACTTATCATTTTGAAAGTAAATATCATTGGAGTACAGAGTAGGGGCTGCATGAAACAGAGGACAGCATTAAAATATGGTGATAATTTGGCATATTTTATATATTTCAGAGGTTTTAACTTCATCAAAATTGATATCGAACAAATCAAACATTTGTCTGGCACTGGTGGACCAACCATATGGGTACTGGACACCTGTTAATTTATATATTATTTGTATTGGACAGGAATTCGCTCTCAAACATCATGTTTCACAATTTGTCTTTGCTGCTATTGAAGAGAGTCAAGTTCTTTAACTGAATGCATAATACGGACTGTGCCAAAGAAATTCTTCCCAAAATCTATGGCTCTTTAGGCCAGGTATCAGAGTCTAAGAACTTACAGACCCAAAGCAAGAATAGTGGCAAAAAAAAATTCTACTGGAATTAGGCAAGGGGCCTATGTCAGATATGTCAGATCACAACCTGATTACACAGCCTTGCAAGTCATCAACTGACTTTGGTGCTAATATAAAATAAAAATAATTACAAATGTAGTGTTGGATAGACTTGCTGGACTGGGCTTTAACTGTAACTGCTGACTGTAAGTGAATATATATGTATATGTATATGCAGTAAATGTAGACTTAATCAGCATGCTTGAAAATCATACCAGTGTTACTGTTTGCGTAAATCTTTTGAGGCAATTGTCTGTTAATCATTTTCACATTTAATAATAAATTAGAATGGTTTAAGAGCAAATAAGTTCCACTGTTTGTATAAAAAAGCAAATGTCTGTTCGTGATTTTCAGTATGAAAATCAATCTGTATGCTTTAGGAACAAAGCAGTTCCACCATTTGTGTAAAACTTTCAAAACTGAGTATGTCTGGTTCTTTGTTATTTTCAGTACTAAAAAAGCTGAACTGTTTATTCCTGCCATAAAACACACAAAGATTTGTGTTAGCAGTCCTGCTTCTTGTAAAACAAAACCACTTAAATCTCTGCTGACATCTGGCTTGTTATTCAAACACATTTCAATTCCCTTGCTAAACTCTTCAGATCAGTACACCTCTATGTACATCTCATATTGTTGCTTGGACATTCAGGTACCTTGAACGTCTTCAACTGCTCTGTAACAGCTACAAGCTGAAGCCTTAATATGAAGAACCCCCAATACACAGTATATTTACATACATCAACACTGGGACCACAACCCCATTGAACCTGCCTGTTTACTGAGTTTCAGGCAAGTAACAAGCCCCTATTGACCAAAGAGTAGCAGGTGGCTATACACGTTGCATACAGCTTAGACCAAGTGAGTCTCACAACACAGACCTACCACTATCTAGCAATGCAAGGTAACATTAGTATAAGGAGGCTTCTTCTTCCTCTCTCTCTCTTCAAACCTCTGGTCTCTTCTATTCAACCTGCTTGTCTTCTCTGTATTTACAGCTTCCAAATTCATTATCTTCCTCCCAAAAGTGATCTTTGGCCGTGTTATTAATCTGGGTTGATTGGCAACTGTCAATCAGTTTGATGGGCAGCATCAGGATGGCAGTATGGTCACGTGGATACAGGACAGGTCAAGCATATGCCTAGGAAAATTATATACTGATCTTATTAAATGCATTGCAGTCAGTGGTATATCTAGTGTGGCAGAGCTGGCAAACTTCTGTGAGTCGCCTTTTACGTGGCTACTAGTTTATTATCATTTATAATTGGTCATATGTGGGGTGCTTGCCATAGGTGATTTTTTAATCATAGATGAGCCTGTGAGTTCAGTTACAAAATATATCCACAAACATGACATTACAGAAACCAATTCACAGTAATCTTGTTAAAACAAGTGTGTTCTTGAAAATCAGGTTAGAGTGTATACTTAGCAGGTGTGACCAAGGGTCATGTGGTAAGTCTTTCTTTTTCACACCTTATGGCCCTAGCACACCCTTCCTGAAGTTATCACAGTGACATAAACTCAAAGAATATGATGACATACATCACGATGCATATACTCACTTTAACAAAAATAATGATCATGTCATATAATGCCATATCATATAATATATCATGCCAAATTTAAAAATCCTAATCCTGGATCAACACAAGTTTTACTACTTACCTTTGATACTTTCTAGAGAAAGCAAGGGCCTCCCCTGGTAAGCTGAAACTGATGATTGCCTTCTTCTGGTCAGGCATCAAATTGATATACTGAAAGCAGACAAACACAATTCCTATAAATAAACACTATTGAGGATAATTAAAAATCTTTGATTTTCAATTTTCCTTTGATCATAAGAATAACTTTCTTTTGTTTTTTTTTCATGCACACATTTCAAGCAAAAGTATTCAAATTTATTTTCATCTTTTATTCATCAATCTATTCATTTTTTATTTCATTCTTTATTTTTTAAAACATATTACTGATTTTTCAAAGCCACACACACATACACACACACACACACACAAAAATTGGGGATAAATCATCAAGGTACAATTCACTGCATTGTTCTTGCAATTAATCCAAAATCTTCAAAATTAAAAAGCACACACACACAAATGACAGATCTATTACAGATCTATTACAGATCTATTACTACCACACACACATACACACACACACACACACACAAAAATTGGGGATAAATCATCAAGGTACAATTCACTGCATTGTTCTTGCAATTAATCCAAAATCTTCAAAATTAAAAAGCACACACACACAAATGACAGATCTATTACTGAGAGCACCAAGTTCTCTCCACCCACCTCCACTCTCCCTACACTAGAGCACATGGCAAGCAGCTGCTGTTCTGTGGTCGTGGTGGTCAGATTCTTCACCTCCACTCTCTTCTTCCCTGCTACAGAGGCTGCCGACAACTTCACTTTCTTAGTTCCCACATTTGGCTGGACCAGTGGTTGCCCTGAGACCAACACAGTCTGAAAATAAATATCAGAAATTATTCTTAGGCATCCAAATGATTGTGCTGTGATCTGCCTTCTACACAGCTCTTTCTTATAAATGATTTTTTCTTCCAGCAACCTCTTCTGTTCAGCTAGTTTTTATTAAACCTGTCAAGTTCATTTATTGGCACCTATATTTTATTTAAATAGGACATGAGAAAAATCAACTCCTTAAAATATTACTTCATCAGATGCAGATACAATGAAATCAGCTACTCCCAACAGGTATTCTTACTCACCCTGTTAACATTCTGCTGACCAGCTGTGTTTCTTGCCACCTGCTTAGGGGGTGTCACAGTCCTCTGACCTTGACCCTGACCTTGACCTGGGGGACGCACAACCCTGTTTCCTGAACTGTTCTGCCTCATGACCTTTTGTTGCCCCTGTGGCTGAGTCTGACTCACAGTTCTCACAATCTGAATGTTACTTCCCTGGTCATTCACAGCAACTCTTACTTGACCTTGACCTGCTTTTGCCTTCATCTGACCTTGACCTTGCTGAATAGGGACAGATTTCAGGTTCCGTTGGTTTGTGGAAGCTTTCTGCACTAGTTTCTTTGCAGCCGAGTTACTATTAAATTGTTTCATCGTGTTCTGGCCTTGAAACTGTAATTTCTTGCTGACAGGGGTATTTGGTCTGTGCTGTTGCTGCAGCTGCTGCTGTTTATTCTCCAGGTGTGGTTGTTTGGCAGGTGGCTCCCCTTCAGGTGACACCCCTGAAATCAACCAAAGGACAAATTACATTAAAATAAACTTAACAGGTCACTTTTTGAAAGTCTAACAAAATGGTAAAACGAAAAAAAAAAAATATTGAACTTGAATACAAAAAACATTGCAATAAAATTCATTACATATTAAATTTCCTTGTGTATTTTTAAAATGAAGCAAACTTTTTCCTTCAGGTGGCACTCAGCATTTCAATCTCATCATTACATAAACTCTACAGACAAAATCTCAGCTACTGAATGAAACTGGGGATTTTCAAAGTGGCAGTCAGATTTCACATTTTATTATCATAAAAACACCAAATGAAACTTTAGCCATCAATTGAAATGAAATGAATTTTAAAACTGCCTTCAGATTTCAGGATTTATCAATAAAGAAACACTGACCAGACTCCGATAATCTCTGGTCTATCTGCTGTCTTCGTTGTGAAGCCATCTGCTGTCTCCGCAGCTCCTTTTTGCGAATGATTTCTTCACGTAATCTCTTCTGTTCAGCCAGTTTTTGTTTAAGCTGTCGAGTTTCTTCATCCATTGGCTCCTACATTTCATTGAAAACAGAATATGGGGAAAGTTAAAGAAATAATAACTCTTCGTTTTGGCCAAAAAATGAATTTTCCTGGAGTAAAGAACAATTTTCCCATACTTACCAATGGTTAATTAATCAATTTTTACATTCAAAGTTAGTCCCTGTTTTTTTTTCTAAAAAGTTTGCTTTTTTGTTATAATCTCTTAAGAGATTTTAACAGAGTATGGCCATCAATGGAGGTCATGTGGTCTAAAGACAAGCTCAGACATCAGAATAATAGCTATAACTGCAGATTTTGAGGTACAACAAAATATACTATATTTCTATGAGTTGTTCACAATGTTTTTATTGTGAAATATAGATCTCATACGAAGAGTTATTATCCCTTTAATATCCAACAATATGGAAATTCATCAGAGAGAAAAAGTGAAATTATTCATAATGTCAACATTTTGGTTTAAATGAAAAAGAACATTTACAAGAATAAATTATCATAATTAATACCAAAGTAATCTAAACATCTACCTGAAGTGCACAGAATAATTTAATAACCTTGTCCCCAGTCTCAACAATCGGATAAATCTAATACAAGTATGCCTACATTTACAATAAATTATCAATTTAACAAACAACCTGACAGATATCTAAACATGTAACTGGAAATAAGAACTTATATCAGTCAAAAAACACTATAAGACTTAGTGTATAAAATACAATGGACTACTCTTACCTCTTCCTCTACCTTGACTTGTTTCAGAGGACTAACACCTGTCCCTTCCCCTCCCTCCCCTCCTCCTCCTGGTCTTCTCTTGCCCTGTTGCTGTAGCTGCTGCTGAAGTTGTAATCGCTTCTTCTTTGTTAACAACCCCTGTATCTTCGGTCCTCTTTGACTATTGAGTTGTTGCTGTTGCTGTCTCTGTTGTTGTTGTTGCTGTTGCTGCTGCCTAGAATGATGTAAGGAGAGCATTTTAGTGACATTAAGTTTTTTTTTAAATTTTTTTTTGGGGGGGTCTTATTCAGTCCAATGGCTGTAGATCTTTTAACCAGGAAACTGTCAAAACAGTGAACTTCTGCCCTAGGGCAGGGAGACTATAAATTAAATCTAAAATTGCCAACAATGAAACAGGTGGCATTAGAGTTACAAACATTCAAGTCACATATTTAGAAATATACTGTCAAACAATGTTGTGTAAAAAAAAGAAAAAGTCATATAAGAACATAAGTTGAAATTAGCATAATTATGGGGTGGCAGTTAACAACCTTCACACTGCATTTCACATGAAAATTTTAAAAACCTTTAAATAAACATACCTATGAAAAATACCATAGACACACTGATCAATGAAGCATATGTGCCGGACTTAAGTACCAATAAACTTTAAAAAAAAAAACAAACTCTTTTTCAGGATCACTGTGAGCTATATAAATACTAAAATTGTCTATATCTCACCTGTATTTCTCTACCACAGCCTTATAACCCCTGCCCTGTGGGGCCTGATTCCTGAGGTGTGCCCCCTGGGGGTGGCGGGGACCACCAAACTGGGCTGGTTGTTGGGAACGTGGCTGGGGTCCACTCATTTGGGGCCTCATATTTGGCTGCTGCTAAAATGAGACAAATTCTGGTTTTATCAAGAACTTTTGAGCCTTCTGACTCTTTGGGCCTGTTTCACAAAAAGGACTGGAATCACAAAATTGGTCCAACTTTTAGATCAAAACTTGTCTACTTTCACCCAAAATGATGATGATTCAGTAGTCCACCTAAATAAAACATCATGCCCTTTTTATTATAAGACGGTCATTGCTGATGTTTCAGACCAATTCTTACTTTATGTGAGTAGACTTCTAGGAATTGGTCTTGAATTTAAAAACACCAAATTTTGGTCCTAAAGATCAGATCAATTTTCAGGTTAAAGTTTAACAGTAAAAATGACCTCAAGGTCTAATATTCCACTCGTCCAAAGAAGAAACAATAAAAAAGTAGCCAGTAAGTGAACCAAATTAAAACATTTTCTTGATGGAAAAAATAACCAGAAACCAAACACACTGTTCATAATTTTCTCATTACAATTTGCGATACACATTTAACAGTGCTGTTACAAATCAAGTGATATATCATAGTAACCCACCTGTGGTCTATTAAACCTCTGTCCTTGCTGCTGCTGCTGCTGCAGTGGCGCCCTCTGCTGAAATGGTGGACCTTGTTGCCTTGGAAACTGTTGCTGGGGAGGAGACTGGTAGCGCTGGGGCTGATAACCAGGCTGTGTGGGAGGCTGCTGATGCTGGGGCGGGTGCTGGTGTTGGGGTGGGGGTTGATACCCCCTCGGAGGACCCTGCTGCTGTGGGGGGTACTGTGGGGGGTATTGACCCTGGGGAGGAAACTGACCCTGAAATCTCTGAGGCTGAACTGGGCCTGATTGGGGCACTGAAATTAAACAGACATATATAATAATTAGATCTTATTTAGAAAGGATTGGGCAGATGTACAGAAAATGTTGAATACTCTTCACTTTTAGATACGAAAAAAAAATTGTATGAATTGCACAAATATTGGAGTTGAGGAAGGCTCATATACATTCTGTTCAAAGCCACAGACTTAATTTTTTTCTACAAGATTATATAAAGATTATTTTATGTATATGAGTTTCAGTGTATATTGTGCTTATCAATAAATATTTATGAAAACTTGACATTTAAACTTCAAGTTGAATATTCATCAATATTTTATATATTCTCTTTGTTTTTTATTTATTTTAACAATAACCCTTAACTAATAAAAACAATGGTCTATGCTAGTTCAGCACTGTTTTTATGACTTAACTCACCTCCATATGGTGCCTGCTGTGCCATAAGGGGTCTCACAGGTTGCTGTCCCTGCCCTGGATGGTAGCCCTGCTGAGGCCTGGGAAAGGCCGGTTGTCCTCCCACACCAGGTGCCACAGCAGGTCGTGGTCCTCCTGGGCCAGGGCCCATTGGGGCATGGCTGTATATTGGAGCCTGGCCCTGCTGGTGTGGTGCACTATATGAAGCCTGGGGTGGGTAATGTGACTGGGGTGGCAGGGATCCTGGTTGGGGGTAGCCCTGCCCAGGGGGCGGGGATCCCGAGGGCACACCCCATCCTTGACTTTGACCAGGTGGTCGAAACTGTTCCTGAAACAACGAGAGGGAAAAGCCTTTGATTTTCTTTTCAACAACTCAAAACCATCTTTTTGCGACAAAGGTGTAAATCATACCTTATTGTTACTTGTCAGACGCTACAGTTCCTGTAGCATTCAAATGAATCATTAATTTCAACAGCTTTTAATTACATAAAATCTACATATTCATTTCAATGGTAATTTTTTTATAACAACTCAGTAAAAGCCCTTTAGTTTTAATTATAACTTTTAAAGTATGAATTTTGTTTTTAGCTCTGTTTGCTCTTTTTATTGAGACTTGAAGTACACAACACTGTTGATAGCCTGTGTATCTGTGTTTCTTTCAACTAGTTCCCATTTACCTGGTGCTGTAGCTGTGGTCCTCCAGGCCCTGGAGGTCCTGTTCTGGGAGGACCAGTATTTGTGGCTTGATGAGGGTGCTGGTATGGACCAGGCTAAAAACAAAATATAGTTTATGATTCAATTTTGTCATAAGATGTCACTGTAATGAAAATATTGAAATGAGAAAAATATATATAAGAGTTTATATGAAAAGTCAGTCTTAAAAATATAATACTAAATATAATTTTTTTTACTGATAGAAGCAGGAAATAAACAAAACAACAATTCTTAGATATTACACAACTCTTTTCCTGCGAGATTGCTACTATTATTTTTCAACTTGCAAAAAACTTGCAACAACTTAAAATTCAATCCCTTCATTGAAAAAAGCTTCTGCATGTTAAAAATTCCATTGTGATTGTTCTTTTCACAGCACCTGATATCCCACATGCTGAGTAGATGACATGGGTTGCTGCATGCCACCAGGGGGACCCTGCACACTGCCAGGAGGAACCCCAGCCATGAGCTGCTGAGGTGGCTGATAAGGTTGTGGTTGTGGTTGAGATGAAGGTGCTGGGTACAGAGGGGGTCTGTGATGCACTGCCTCTTGTGGGCGTGCCGGCTGGGGCCCCGCCCCTGGTGCCATCCCAGGTCCCCCAAGGGTCATCCCAGATGCTGCTAGAGGCTGTCCCGCTAGAGAAGTGGGCGTGTCCCTGTCCCATATTAACCTGGCCTCGGGACGCACTGTGACTGTCCCCCTGAAATGTGGGTTAATGAGAATCTTCCTTGGCTGGCCTGGAACTGGGCGTGGCATAGGGACCCCAGGGGTCTGGGGTAAGGGTGTGGCTTGGTTGGCCCCTAGTAGATGTATGAGATATGAGTAAGTACAATTCTGAAGTTCTTTTCTGTTTCATTCATGAAACTACATAACTGTGAATGCTCTTGTAAGTTTTACTTAATATTTCTCTTTAGTAGTGCCAATAAAATTCATAGGGAATAAATCAGTCAGATCTTTAGTTAAATATAATTTTTGAATGATGTATCATCAATATGATATAGATTTGACTTGAGAATTGACCACTTATATAATCTTTTCACTTAAATCACTCAACAAAACCTCTTAACATGTGAATTTCAATGAAGAAAGAAATTCAATGTCCAAACAACTTTAAATGAAACAGAAATAAAGTTAGGTGAAGCTCTCATACCTGGGCGTGGCATGGAGCCCTGGGCCCTTGGGGGAGTCCATCCTCGTCCCCGGGGTCCAAACTGCTGCTGCTGAAATTGCTGCTGCTGATGACCATGTGGTTGTTGCTGCTGAGACTGTTGTCCTTTACCCCTCTGATGCTGTTGCTGGTTTGGTTTTTGGAAGCGTTTGCCTCTCCCCTTGTGGTGAAGAAATTCCTCTATCTTGTCTTGCTCTTCTTTACTGATCTCTATAACAGGGCAAACTCTTTATCAATATGCATATCACTACAAAGATGATGTTTTGTACCTAATCAGTTAATTTATAAAAAGCTACGTCAAAGTATGAGATATATACATAGAAAAACATTGTAACTTTAAATTATACTTTTACTGCAGTCACTTTTTGACTAAACAAGCAAAAAAATATGGTTTGAGACACAGAAAATAAAAACTAACCCAGCGTGTCTGGGATTTCTGTCCTTGACCTCGAGGCAGCATTGGAGTGACCTCCCGAACTGGTCAACTTGATCATCTTCCTCTCCGTCTTAAACCGCTCTCTTCTCTCCTCCTCGTCACTCTCGCTCTCCTCACTCTCGTCCTCTGCATGCTGCACGCTGTCGTCGTGCATGTCCGAGACAGTCGTATCAGCCTGTTCTCCTGCAGGTTCATGCTCCTAAACAAAGATTAATCCAATTTTGATAGCTGTCATCATGCTTATTTTTCTTAATTAAGAAACTGTGAAGAAAATATCCTGATACAAATATATGTACAAGCTGGGGTAGTGCTAACACTTGCCAATCTAGCCAAATGCTTAAGTTGACTTAAGTTGGCTAAACAAAAAAGGTTGATTTAACTTGTTTTGTTGCATATGCCCCCTGTGAACTTGATTTTATTGGACCTTTATCTCTCTCATAGGTTTATATGTACGTGCATGCAAGCATGAGTGAATACACGCACACACATACACAAACATCTCAAACAAAACACTTTAAAGACAACCATGCTAGTTGAGTTTATCATAAACAAAAAAAAAGTTTTTCAATTTTCTAAAGACAAATTAAAATTCAAACAACATCAAAAGTGTACCTCCTGTTCTTGGATGTCAGGCTCTGCAGTTTTTGGTCCTAGCCTGGATTTAGCACTTCGACGTGTGCTTGATTCATGGGCCTGGAAATAAAAAAGGGCAAGGGTGAGTATATATTCTATATATATAAATTATATACAGTATTTTACTAATTTTGGGTTAGATATTTTGCATTACAGCAGACCAGTATGCCATCAAAAAGTTTTAATGTTGTTTTTAGACTTAACAGCCAAGGTGACATCCCTGCGTTTTAACTTTTTTTAGAAATAATACAACAGTTACCTCAGGCCAGGCCTCCTTTACAGTACTGGTAACTACATCGTCTCCCTGGGGGTCACCCTCCGTGTCATCCTGCGTTTCGTCATGTGTGTCTATCCCTGTGTCATCTAAGTCGCCCCCTGCTGAGACATCAATGTCAATCACATCTTCCTCGATAAGGTCCTCCTCCTCTTCCTCGTTCTGGGCTGTGAACTCATCAGTTATGGGCCTGCAATGTCCATTAAATTTAATCTTATTCCATGCAAGAAAAACAAAAAACATATCTGGTTGATTTTCAAACTGGAACCAACTTTAAGCCCTCAGAAGAATTCTGTAAGTTTGAGAATAATGAGCTATGCAGTTTTCCTTTTGTGATACAATAAGGAAAGTGCATGGCTATGGCATTGCTAATGAAAATGACAACATTAAAGAGGACTGCAGATGAAGGTGATAGCTAAATGTCCAAACTCAGCATATATATCCTTATCCATAATAACAGAAACATATAATTTTACATTTGGTGTATTGGTCCAAGAATACAACAGAACTAAATTCTAAATTAAAACTTGACTCACTCTATCTCCACAAAGTCTTCATCAGGCGGTGCTGACTCTTCCAGGTCATCTGCAGTCTCATCTGTTATAATAATAATAATAATAATAATAATAATAATACTATGTATGTTGATTAAAGTTTCAAACCCCCAGTTTCTAGATTACTTTATAGCCTAATAACAGTTAATATATTAACCTCAACTTGACTTTCAATATGATTTCAAATAGGACTCTTAATGCATCTTAAATATGTACCAAATCTCATGAAAAAAGGCATAATAAATATCATAAATAATGATTAATAATATAATTCTTCTTGTTATTGCCATTATTATTTATTTGCCTATTATATAAAATAAATACTATAAAACAGCTTCTGAAATTCCTTGAAATATTTCTTATTAAAAGAAAAACTAAAACAGTTCCCACCTTTCCCACTGACATCTTTATCAGTGTCATCACCCAGTCCTAGGAGGGCATCTTCATCAAATTCTTCCTCTGAATCATCTTTGGACTGAGATGTCAGATTAAAAAAGGCACATCACATTATTCTTTTATATTAACAATAATTTATCGCGTATTAAATGAGTTAATATTCAAATGCCATTAATTACCATTAACTACAAGCCAGTATACTTAGTAAATTTTAACACTATTTCTGTTTTGGACCTGAAGTATCTTAGCCCAGATGTCCTGAAAAGCCAATAAGTTGAAAAGATTTAGGAACAGTGTAGGAAGGTAATGAGAAAAATTACCTTTCTAAATGCATGGATTCCAGAAAGCTCTTCATCCAGGAGGTCATCATCACTGGTAAAAGATGTGAGAGAAGTTTGTAAGATCATGGCAATACTAATACCAGTAAACTCGTTAGCGTATGAGAGTGCGTAATTACGTGTTGTTTTGCTGTTTTTACGCATTGGCTGGAGCCCCAGCGCGTACGAATACGCACACCTTTGGCTTTGAAGATCAGGGAAGTTGACCAGTCCGTTGACTGTTGACGGTCAGACTCATGTTGAAAATGTCATAATTGATTCCCAAGTGTCTCATTTTTTTCTTAAGATATTTGAATTACCCTACTAACATGCTTCTTCTTTCACTGACCCGCAGAGGATGACATAATCTTCTCTGATTGGTCATAATATGCAAGTTTTAGGTCAAAGCACGTGTGCCTNACTGTAATACAGTATCAATATATCAAAACACTCATGTGTATGAAAATGTATACAAAATCTACACAATGCTCTTGATTTTTACATCAATTTTTGTTTCATTTTATTATAATAATTATTTTTATTGTGCAAAAAGAAAAAATACATAAAAATAAAGCACAAAGTAATGCATTAAAGTGCTAAATTATAATACAATTAAATACAAAATCATCACATATTATTTAATGTTTTTAATAAATAAATCCAACATATCATGAAAATTAACTCAGATTTACTGTACAGTATTTGTGACTGAAAGTGATTCCTACCTGTCCCATGAGGACTCAGTGGGCCTCTTTCTTGGCATCTCCCAATGTTACTGGATGCCACAACAATAATGTCGCCGAGTCCAGCACCATCCAACAGAGTAAGCAGTCTCTGCAATGTAAAATATAAAGTTGATTCCAGTAATTTAAAACTTGATTTTGGATGATCCCCGTAAATGCCTTTATTCTCTTAATTAGCAGTACAGAAAAACTGCCCATTCAAACGATATATTCAAGAGTGAAATCCAAACTCACACCTGCCAAGTTTTAAGTACAGCATAGCAATGCTCACCTGAATATATCAAAAGAGTGAAAAAATCAACTTACTAGTACTACATAAATGTCTGTTTGTATATACTCTTATACCAAATCAATAACTAGGTATATACAGGTATCAGAATGCAGTATAGGCCCCACAGTCAATCCTGTCCTGTAGCAGCACTGGCCTGCCTGTGACCTGCAACCACTGAGACAACTCATTTGACAACCTATGCCAAAATCTCTCTTCTCCACCTGCATCTTTTTTTAAATGTGAAATACAGATCATTCGTGATCTTATGCAACAAACCCCATGAAAATTGATAAGGGCGAAGTATTTTAAGGCAGCACAAAATGCACTCAGTGGTCACAGCTTTCTGGCTGAAATGTGAGGTCCCATTTACCCTTACTAGTATATGGCTATTTAAAAACTGAGATATTTCCTTTACTTCATTTTACTTTACTTCAAAAATATAACATTCTGGATAAAAAAGACCTTTCAAAAGATATAGCATGTGTTAAAATCTGGCACATTCTGATTTTACACTTGATATACCTAGAACAACAATGGGGCAATTCCGTACTTTTTTGTTGAAAGGTTACAAACAAAAATGATAATACTTTGCATAGCCTTGAACAAATTTCATCCAACTTTCCAAAAGCTGTTCTGGACTTAACTCGGCAGTGAATGAAATCGCCCAAACCTGACTCTAAAATAGAGCCAGTGTTTATAAATCATGGCCGATTCTTTTGATGAGAACATACTAGTAAATTCACTAAGGCAGTTAAGGGTTTCCTTACCTTCGTACTTTGCTAAATTTTACATGAAAACATCTTCGGGTTCATCTTCTGTTCCATGCATTCTACAAAACGGTTCGTTTTACAAGTAAACGCTGCGCAAAGCAAAATTTAAAGTAACTGGTTAGAAAGCTTTTATGTTTTCGGTGGACACTTGTTTTGTTTGTTACTCTATAGATGGCGAAATGTGCTAAGAGAAGCCACAGCGCAGCCCAAATAATATTTTCTTGTGTAATATTGCCCGAGCTATATTATAACTCTATCTTATTTAGAGCAACGGCTTTGCCGTTACTCAATGAATTACATACATTCTTACTGTACAAATTGTCCAGATCAAAATTTTGCTACGAATAATGATAACAATAATGCTGATCAATATCATTGATTGTGTTGAGCGCTGCGAGAGTTCTTCTCTATCGCAATGAAAATCTGCAGTTCCAAGATATTATTAAATGCATCATTCAATCGATAATCATTTACATACTGATATACTGAAGTATTATTTTATTATTCTTAATCAACATATGTCTTACCTTATTAACTCGTACTTAAATGCGTCATCTATACATCCATGTTCTTTATTGTATATGATATATCCCTTTATTTACTTATTCAATTGAACATTACTAAACCACACCTCCACTTACAATATTATACACACAGTAGGCCTATCATGTTGCCAGTGATACCCCCTCCCCCTTCCGCTATTTACTCCCCAGGGTAAGACTCCTATATATACATGTACATGTATTATATTATCTAGGTTTTATCCCAAAATCAACAGTGATTAATTTTTTGCCTGAACATCCTTCACACAACCCTCGCCCCAACTCAATCCACGCGAGCTTGGAAAAACCGTCAACTGCCACTTTTGGAAAATCGACTGTCGTCGACGTGCACGTTTCATGTTACTCTGTTAGTGCATTATAGTGTCTTAAAGTGGTTCATATACAATGTGTGGGCGGACTGTCGATCAACACCAGGCGCAGCAAAAGTAAAATGTTCACGTCTACCTGGTTTAATTCGGACAAAGCCGTACGTTGTTCCTGCTCATAACTGCTGCGTACCACTGTTCTTTCAAAACGTATTTGCTTCAATCTCAAGTTCTTGTAACATTGATGTGACGTGACAGAGCTAGAGTTCCCCACTATAAAGTGTCTGGTTCCCATTAAGAGACCATTTCCACAGATAGGCCTATTTAGATGGATCTATCCCCTGGTGAGTCTCACTAAATTGCTGTCAACTTGGCCGGCTTAAATGTCTGTCACGCCTAGTAAGCTGTTAGGGGGTAATTATCTTTACCCTAGCTGATTAGGTAGGCGTGACAGACATTTTAAGCCTCTTGAGCTGACAGCAATTTAGCGTGAACCCCCAGGGAGTTAGGTCGATCCAGATAGCTTGATCTAAATCTGTGGGAATGCAGTCTAATTTGCACAGATAAACCTTGCCCTAGATTGTGACTACCCTCTCTACCAGGGTGGCATTTTATATAGGAGAAAATGAAAAAGCCAGTGAGCCAAATGACTGTCTATTTATATAGAGACATATTAGTGAATATCTGTGAAAATTCAATTTGTCGCTCTGGTAGAGGGTAGATTGCGACGCGCTTACGTCAGGCTAACCTGTAGCCTATAATTTAAATGAAGGGTAGATTCTCTGTCACACGGACCCTCAGTTTCGTCACACCAGCTTTCTTAGGGTGCTTTCCCAGAGATTTAGATCGACCTAACTCCCTGGAGGTTCACGCTCAATTGCAGTCAGCCGAGCGGGCACCATAGTTAATTACCCCCCTTACAGCTTTTATATATAATTAGTAGGCGGGACAGACGCTTAAGCCGGCCAAGCTGACAGTAATCTAGTGAGACTCCCCACAGGGATAGATCGATCTAAAAATCTATGGAAATGGGGTGTAAGACAAACTCTCAAATACAGGCTTAATGGCAAGATTTGTTTAAAAACCCCTCCCCACCATACTTAAGTAAGTAGCAGGTTGAGGAAAGTGTCTTGACATATCCTCCAAAGGGTTTCAATACCCTTTTCATGATGGCCAATCAGGTTTACCCAGGGCTGGTCGATAGGAAGTCTCCATTATTCGTTTAGACAAGAACAAAAAACAGTAGCACAAAGGTAAAAAGCAGGATTCTGTCAAACATATGACGGGGGTCAACAAAACTCCATTTGTATACTCGTTAACAAAAGATGCACGCACAAGGAAGACGATCTGAGTCATAATAAATGGCAATTGGACGATTGAGTGCTTTACGAGTTCTTCGTAACGAGGAAGTGACTAAACAGAAAAGGTTGCGAATACAGAATTAAATCAACAATAGTAGCACAATATTTTCACTAATGACCTCTAGTGTCATGAAAGTCTACCAGTAGTATTAGTGTTTCTGAGATGTTTTATTTCCTCCGATAATGTCATCCTATTTCAAACAATATCTACAAAAAGGCTTAGTGGAGTAAATGTAATTAACTTGCATTAACATATATAGGAAAGAGTGATTCCGACAATAAACCATGTTTAACAAACACTTTTGCTTCCGGAATATAAAAGAGACCGGTATAAGGACAACTGTATCTTTACTCAAATGTTTTCCTAAATATAGATAGTCCTAGATAGGCCTAAATATAGATAGTTTTTTTACTTAAAATTTAACATGCAGCCTGCTTGGATTCAACAGTGATCAATTCACAGTACTTATTGTGTATTTTTACGTTGCTTGCAGATTTCAGAATATGAGAATATACAGGTTTAAACAAATATTTGTCATATATTTTACATCTGGACTTAATCACTGGTATTTTCTTCTTCCCATGTTTATCTTAAACCAATGCTATCTGTTTCCAAATCTCAAAAGCAAAGGGCTTTAAGCAGGAAAATCCTGTTTAACATAACTTTGACATGTTACTGTGTACCTATAACTAAAAGAAGCTGATATATGCATACACCCGCCCGTATAGTCCCCACTCTCCACTACCAGGGATAAAAAAGAGATGTAATGAAGCGACAGATTCCAGTGTTTGAAATAATTAATGGAAGCTGACGATACCCGTGACAAATTTGGCGAAATGGAAACGAAATTGAACAGATCATTAAAATTTATCCAATATAATGTACAGCCCCATTTATCCGACTTCCTACTATCACGCATATGCATTACTATGTTGACGGTGGTCACGATGCACACATATGAACACAAATGCAAATAATACAGATGTAACATCTGATACACAACGAAAATACACCATTCATAGTTTTTCATATATCAGACAATCCCAAGGGTATTGTTTCTTTCTTTTTACATTTTTCTGCAGAATCTGTCAGATAAAATATGTGACTGTTACAGCATCTCAGTGTCGTCATTTTCGCCATTTAGGACAAGGTGATTATTTATGTCAAGAATGGCATCCTTGAGACGTCTGTCCACTTTACATAGCCTCTTGCCTTAATGAATTTCCGAAGCGATTTCGTCATGGTATCAAACGGCACCGTTTGAAACATGACTGGTATCACTGTGTTGTACCCACGAGCCAATGACATTTGAAACTCAAATTCACACCACGAGTTTAGCACGAAATTTTCTGATAGAACGAGAATTGTCTTCCTGCTGTTATCCACAGCTTCGACGATAGCTTCAGCAAGAGATGCTCCACCAATAAAATCCCTCTCATCTATGATGACGTCAAGCTCGTTCTCCTCTTCTAAATGACGTAAAAGTCTATTCACTACCCAATGATAATCACCGTCATCGTATGAAATGTACACGTGACCGGGCGGGGTTGTAATAAATCCTTGTCTACGTAACCGGCGTCGCACCAGGTATAGCCGATATCTAAAATATAAGAATTATTTATTTAGAAATTGCAAGATAATATTAGCTTTAATTAGGACACCTTTTACATATAATTTTCATTAAGAAACCGCAGCCGCAGTCGTCCTCGAAAAAAAGTTGTGTATTATAATTCTTAATGACTTTTAGGGGGTGGCGTGGACACAGAACTGGTGTTTTCTTCTTTTTTGAGACTTATTAAAGATTTAAAATTCCACTCAGCTATGTACTATCTGTAACTCAAAGCGGTGTAAATGATCCATTTTGGAGTAAATCAGACCCCCCTCTCTCTCTCTCTCTCTCCATACATGTAAGATATAGAAATATTTAAAACATACTTAATATTCCAGCGATAAATGTACGCTGCTATCAAACCGCACGTCACGCCAGCGATATTGGTCAGGGATATCCCGAGGAACAGCCACTGATTTTGAGCTTTAGTTATTTGACTGCCAACATCACATTTCTCACGCAGTCCATTCAGTGTAGTCCGCAGACTCGTTTTTGAACCATTCATAGGGCAATCGGAGTTGTTGGAAAATGCCACAGTAATATTGGAAAAAATAAGCCATTTAAAAAATTCCTTCCCATCGCAACGGGTGCAGTTCACAGCGTTGTTATTCAAATCAATGGTAAAGCTTGAATTTAACTTTCCTATAGTTTCCAATTCTTCTGATGAAAATGCCTGTAGTTTGTTGTTGCTGAGATCTATGTATTCCACAGACACAAAGCTTATCATACTGAACGACACCGTATTAAGGCGGTTGCCGCTTAACACAAGTCGTTGAAGGGAGACAAGGTGTTCGAAAAAGTTCTTAGGGATGGTCCTGATCTCATTCACTGATAAGTCCAAAAACTCTAAGCTCGGAAGTTTTACTAGATGTATTCCACCCTCACCTATTAGAGGTCCTAGTTTGTTGTCGCCTACATTTAAGAACCTCAAAGATGGAAAGTGACCGTTGCAAAAATCTCTTGGAAGACAACTGAGAATATTATGAGAAGCATCAAAATGCTCCAGATTGTCCAATCCATATACCACATGAGAGATTGACTTTGAACCAGTACCTTCAACCCTTAGAAAGCGAAGCTTATTTGGATAAAAATATATACTTCCCGGTAAGGTGCAATCAGCTGTACCTTTATCGTCCAGCACAAACCACCAACTCATCGACAAGAATTCCAAAGAAGCAGGAAGAAAATATTTTGCAATTGGTGAAGGCAAATACTTTTCATTTAAAGATCCGGCAACGCCTTTCTTAAGCTTGAATGATGGATGGCCTTTCCAAAAAGAATGCGTTAATTTACATCTTGGAGGGTTCTTATTTTTGTTCCTCAAGTTATTGTCGATTCTCGCGTACTTTAAGTTCCTTAGTAATGCAAATATTTTAATAAATTTAACCGAGGCACTGTTTACCCCATAGTTGTCCTTTCCATTTACGGGGAAAAAGATCATGACATTATGAGACAGATCAAGATACTCCAAATTCGGAAAGTAATGCAAGTTATTCAGGTCAAACCATTCTATTCTGTTCTTTATTAATTCCAATGTTTTCAGCGACGTATTTTCTAAGCATCTGAATGTTGTAGCTGATATCGTCCATTGTGAGACAAGTACGGCACCATTATCTCGCATTCCATAGATATTATTCATGCGAATGGTTTCAATTGAGGTGTTCTTTAAGCCACAGATAAAATCTTTCACATTCTGAGATGACAGAAAATAACAGCACTCCAGATCTAACACCTTTAAACGTGGAAAAATGGACAGCATGCCTGGTTCTGCACGGTTAATGCCGCAGTTAATGAAAGCAAGTTTTTCGATTGGGCAGTTTTTTAACCAGACGAAAGCCTCTTTTCGCAACTGTATCTCAGGTCCTGAATGCATTTGGAAAACTAGTGTCTTCAGAGACGATAAATTGCTATATCCAGGACCAAGTGTTATATTTCCATGAGGCGCATAATAAAGAAACAACTCCTCCAACTGATGTAATGGTGACATTGTGCGATCTAAGTAATCTTGTTGAACATTTATACCCGAATCCTTTCCACCAATACGAAGGGTTTTTAACGACGTTAAATCACGAAACAAAGATGGAGGGAAGGCAGTATAATCGATATTCATACCTGGATGAGTTGGAAACAAATTCAAATGTTCCAATACCTTTAAACCCGCAAAGCTGTCCTCGTTGAATGCTGTTATGCTATTTCCTCCTATGTAAAGAACTTTTAGACTCTTCAGATGACTAAATGCAAATGGCGGTATTTCAGAAAGACCGATGTTTCGTAGGTCTAAGACGGTTGTATTACGTGGAATCCCCAGGGGTATGGATCTGATGGACCTCCCGGAGCAATCAACTGTGTGGTAAGACGGCGATGTGCTGAAGCATCGGCATTCTTTTGGACAGTTTCTTAAAAAACTGTCTCCATCATCAGTACTACTTGTACTAGTACTGCTATTGCAAGAGATCAACAAAAATAATATAATGCAAATGTTAACCCCTGCTGGTCCTGATGCAAGGTACATGGTTTGTATCCAGCTTTATAGTGTTGATACTAGTATGGTATACTATCGTGACTACTGCACACAGAGTGGCGTTGGTGGAGCCGTGTTATATGCCAAAATGTCTTAAGAGACTTTGTGGGCAATTTTCCTGTATGTTGAGCTGTAATGTACTTCTAACGTTCTCTCTTCTGCTCCTTTCAATGAGCCCTTAACTTTCCTTGTCTTTTGAACATGAACATAAAATGGCCACACCTTTCTTTTTTTGTAAGGCTTATTCATGCTTTAGTACATATTTGTATTTCTGTTCTTAATAAAATTTGATCAACGTAAGTTGAGATTACGTCCTGAATGGTGGAATAAAGGCAGGTCGATCGGCTTAACCCAGAAAAAGGTCAGCATCGAGCCCCGCATTGTGGGACGAGCCCGGATTATGGAACAAAAAAACTGAAGTTTGCCCTTTTACCCGGCATGCAGAGCGTAAACAATTCCTGTGGAAATGTCATGCAGAAAGAATGTTCAACAGCAGGTTTTATTGGCCCCGAAGTATTTCTACCACCACTTTTTTGAAAAATGTCTCTTTGCCCATTGGACTTACACTTAATGTAACGAACAGACCAGCTGATTTCAAAGCCGGTATCACCAGTCAGTTTGGAAAATTTTGATAATGTATTCCGCTAAGGAAATATTCAGGAAATTGGCAGGTGCCACCACGGAGAGTGCAATGGGGTAGCCAAATATTGGTAATGAGCATAGCACGTCCTTGTTATGTCCTTGATTAGAATTCCAAATTAGTAGGAAGAGAATATTTTACAACTGGTGAAGGCAAGTCTTTTTCCTGACAAGACTTATCAATGCACTTCTAAAGCTAGAATGACGGATGGCATTTCCAGCAAGAAAGCGTTAACAAATATTTTGGGGTTCTTATTTTTGTTTCTCAAGTTATTGTCGATTCTTGTGTACTTTAAGTTCCTTAGTAGTGAAAACTAGGTCCTAGCGACCATTGGGGCCTACAACCATAGCATTTTTTAAATTATTATTCTCTTCCCTTATACAGACTTGACATTTAATATGGAATATTTTTTTCCAAATCATTTTTCATCAGTTTTTTCCTATTTTGCCTATTTTGTTATATATTTAACCCTATATAAAACATCTGTAACATCAAAAGTACCTGCACCAGATAAATGGCAAAAATACATCTCTAACATTGGGCGCATTCAGAAAATTTGATCCGCTGACTAATAGATAAGCTGATTAAATATGGTAGGCCGACGCAAAAGCAATTGCCGACAAATCACCTGATTGTCACCTCGCCTCCTCAAGGAGTTGCAGGGGCTTAGCAATTAAACCTGGGAGCCGAGGTTTTATCCGTTAAATGGCACATATGGAGGCGGTTTGTTTTTAAGTGGTGTTGGCCATATTTAGTCAGCTGTTCATCTGTTCTGAATGCGGCCAGTGGCCCTGAAAAGGACCGTTTTGGAAGGTGTGCGCAGCCCGGTTAGCTCAGTCGGTAGAGCATGGGACTCTTAATCCCAGGGTCGTGGGTTCGAGCCCCACATTGGGCGATATGATTGCTTTTTCTTGAATCCTGACCCTTTGTTAATATTTTTTTATCACCTCCGCCAAGGAAGTTTAGTATTCAGCTCCATTTGTCTGTTATAGCTTTGTTTGTCGTAAGCCTTACGTTAAACATTATGCAGGGATTTTGATAATTTTCAGGATAAGTCGGAAATATTTACGCGTTGTGCAATGAATGTGTTCTCATCTAACACAATTTATCAGTGTACAGTCCTTGGCGGAGGTCTGTCGGCAGCCTCACTCAAAAATTATGCATCGCGGTTGATGAAATTTTCAGGATAAGTCGGAAATTTGGCACGCTGATAACTGGTAGGATTCCGAGGCCCCTTGTGTCATAACATAGCTGCCTTCGTATCAAATCTAATGAACAATGGAAATCACGTACAAATAAGTATGGAGGTTTGTAGGAAATGTATAAACTGCTATAAGATTTTAGGCCCATGTGTCATTCTCATTTCCAAGCTACCGCCAGACTGAAGACGCGTGCATTTGTCGCTTGTCGCCTATCAGAATCAGTAACACTGTTTTTGTCTTCTGTTGGACTTTTGAATTCCTCACAGATATGATATATGATACGAATTTGTGCACCGTTTTATCAAAGAAGTCATCCCTAAGACAACCCAAATATTTGGTGATTTTCTAGTACCGGCAGCCCATCTTTCTGTCGACTTCCAAACTGAAAAGTACCCTACACCTCAGAATGAAAGACGATCTTTGCTAAATAACAAAAAACTCATGAACATTCCTTTGAAGAATAATACTTATGCAGGAAGTTTCTTAATATTTTGATTTTACGTTTTTAGTTAGATGGAATATTGGGCCATGGCCAAGCCTCTTGCCACACAAGTGACGACAGACTTATTATTTTTCATCAGATTCATCAGACATTTGCTCATCAAATAGTCTTAAATTCATTCGGGATACTGAACGGCATACAGAATGATACAGGCAGAATCTGCCATTCAGAGACAAATAAAAAATAGAAGGTATATACTTGTTACTTACTTCAAACTATCATTTGGTTTTCTCAGCAAAATTGAATATGAAATCACTTCACTTTAAAGAGAAAGAAAAATTAGTTGAAAACGATGAAGAAATTCATATTCAATTTTAGTACGCACGGCAAGTGCTTTGGTACATGTAAAATCAAATGAAGACAAGTACATGTAATAGATTACTCTTTTATTGAAATAGCAATTTTAACAAGCATGTTAAGTTCAATACTGTGTAATCGGCTTTGCAAAAGGGGTAAAAGGTCAATAGTGTACGTACATCAACTTTACTTTCGATCCAGTTATTTATATTAGTTATTTTTATTATTTTAAGGGAAATTCTTTATATATTTCTACCATCATGTCAGGCCTGTCCATTATATTGTCTGCATGTCTAAAGACTGTCAATTGTAACATTTAGAAATGTTTGTAAAACGTGAATAATTATGTGATGGTTCTTATAAAAAATGATACATTTGCAATTATCTTTATTATTAATGCCACCTACTGCACGCGTTTAATGACTAGTGCTTGCACCTTCTGTGTCATTCCATTTACATACTCAGCTTGTATACCGCAGAACAAAAAGGATTGCTTTACACATGTGAGATTTTATCGCAGGGCCCTTTCGTTCGTAACACTTACCTGTACCAAAACACTACTCTCTATCAGGGCGACAGATTGATTTTTCACAGCTAAGATCTAATATACCATATGCAGGGGCTTAGCAATGAAACCTGGGAGCCGAGATTTTATCCGTTAAATGGCACATGTGGAGGCGGATCATCAGCGGATTAGGCGGTTTGTTTTTAAGTGGCATCGGCCATATTTAGTCAGCTCATCATCTGTACTGAATGCGGTCAGTGGCCCTGAAAAGGACCATTTTCGAAGGTGTGCACAGCCCGGTTAGCTCAGTCGGTAGAGCATGGGACTCTTAATCCCAGGGTCGTGGGTTCGAGCCCCACATTGGGCGAATTGATTGCTTTTTGTTTAATCATGTCCCTTTGTTGATATATATTTTATCACCTCCGCCAAGGAAGTTGGGTATTTAGCTCCATTTGTCTGTTATGGCTTTGTTTTTCGTCAGCTTTACGCAAAACATTATGCATGGAGGTTGATGAAATTTTCAGGATAAGTCAGAAATTGGCACGCTCATGAACATTCCTTTGAAGAATAATATTAATGCTTGAAGTATCTTAATGTTTTGATTTTACGTTTTTAGTTCGATGGAACATTGGGCCATGTCGCCAGAACGACGCTTGTAATAGCCGGACGTGTTTGCTCCTGCCATTTAAGTGACGACAGACTTCTTGTTTTTCATCCGACGTTTGCTTATCAAAGTATGTAAATTCATTCGGAGTACTGAACGGCATACAGAATGCTACAGGTAGTATCCGCCATACAGAGACAAATAAAAAACATATACTTGTTACTCATTTCAAGCCATCATAATATTGGGTTTTCTCAGCAACATTACATATTAAAATACACCGAAGAGAAAGAAAAAATTGTTGAAAACGAGGAAGAAAGGCACATTCAATTTTAGTATGCAAAATCAAATGAAGACAAGTACATGTAATAGATTACTCTTTTATTGAAATAGCAATTTTAACAAGCATGTTAAGTTCAATACTGTGTAATCGGCTTTGCAAAAGGGGTAAAAGGTCAATAGTGTACGTACATCAGCTTTACTTTCGATCCAGTTACTTATATTAGTTATTTTTTATTATTTTAAGGGAAATTCTTTATATTATTCCTCACATTATGTCAGACCTGTCCTATATAATGCCTGCATCTCTACAATTGTATCAGATTTAGAAATGTTAGTAAAACGTGAATAATTATGTGCTGTTTCTTATAAAAAAATGTTACATTTGCAAATATCTTTATTATTAATGTCGCCTACTGCACGTGTATAATGACTTGTACCTTCTGTGTCATTCCATTTACATACTCAGCTTGCATACCGCAGAACAAAAAGGATTGTTTTACACATGTGAGATTTTATCGCAGGGCCCTTTCGCATCGTTACTTGTACCCTTACCTGTACCAAAACACTTCTCTCTAGCAGGGCGACAGACTGATTTTTCACAGATATTCACTGATATGTCTCTAGATAAACAAACAGCCATTTGTCTCGGTGGCTTTTCCCATTTTTCCATATATAATCTGCCACCCTGGTAGAGGGTACCAAAACACTTGGACTGGTAATGAGTAACTCACGGGTAAATACAGGGGCGGTTCCAGAGATATTTTCTGACAGTCTTCCAAATTATCTTTGTTGATCCATCTTCCATTTTTGACCGTCTTCCGACAGAAAACATTACATGGCTGACAATGTAAACCTGAAAATTTTAACCGTCTTCCAGAAGACCCAGAAGACGGCCTAAATCCGCCCCTGAAATACACCACGGGGATTTCACTCTCTCTCTCACAAGTTCGCTCTTCTTGAACTAATTCAAATTAATACGTGCATCTGCTCGTGTCAAGCGCGGGGGCTCTGTTTAAGGTGCTTCCTTTAAGGAATGGCCGTGATAATCGTTTGTCACTATATTTCAAAGTATTTGGATACAGATAAGTGTAACGCACATTGTGAAAAGGACAGTCGAGTCATCTGCCACGTTTTGGAATAATCTACTGTACCTGTATTTCTGTAAATAATAAGTGGAGAATGTGGCTGTTGGTACTATCGCTTATAATTATATTTTTATTTCATGTATAATATCTAAACGGACTGAACATATTTCAGTTCTTAGTTTTCAGCCATGTTGCTTTGTCATATTACATTGTACTAAATGTACCATTTAGTGAGGGGGTTGGGTATCAGGTATCACTGACAGTCTCAGCGTCGAAGCTACACATGTAGATACCGAAAACTGTGTCCACAATTTTACAAACCCTAACTCCTCAACTTAAAAAATAATCTGTATACGCAACAAATTCACATAAATCTATGAAATCTATGAAAATGAAAGACGAACAGTGAGCTCATCCGTTGATAAAGACAACTATAAAAAACCTAGCTCTGTTTATTCTTTCATCTTGATTGCCTTCCTGAAGACGACTGGCGAATATAGAAATTCGTCCCAGAGTCACCTTCAACTGTTAACGTGTGTCCCCTAAATCAAAACTATTTGTAGCCTACCTCTGTGACATATGCTCTAACTTTAACTGGAAGCGGTCTTTAGATCATAAAGAAAATATTATTTCAATTGATTTTTTTTTCGTTTCCTAATACTTGTCTAAGCAGTAACCATATTATGCGGTTCTCTTGTTGATCCAGATCGGTCTATCATGTCCAAATATGATAACCGCGTATCTTGTAAACAGCGCCTCCACGCGGTGTACGGTCATACCAACTACCTGCACGGCCAGAACGAGGCCGTATACAGCCCCAGTTATCAGCCCGTACACGTTCAACTTAACCAAGTTAAAGTTTGCATTGAAATAAAAGACGCTGAGCAACACTAACCACAAAGCGTTGAGGATGAGCAGAGACAGCAGACAGATGTTGCGCAGGTTGCGCAAACCGGAAGCGAGTGAAGCTTGGTCCAGACCGAGGTTTACTCCTTTTCCTAAGACGATCTCGTGCATTCTCTCCCAGAACACGTGCTCCTCTATTTGCTGCTCGTTGCCGTCCAACATGGAATGGAAGTGATCAGCGGTACATTCTACCTCAACGTCCTCGCTTTCATCCGTACTCTCGACCTCCACGACCTCTTCTATCCCGCCGACTGGCGCTGCACCTGATAGAGGAAATCCACGTAAGGAATGTTTAAATTATTTCAGCCATAAGTGCATATGAAATGACGCCAACATCTTATGAAATCTAATTCCAGATTAAAAAAACATATCAGAACGACTCATCAGAAAATGAACTTTATTATTCTGTAGTTCAATTACAGTCACTATGGTTCCTACATTTGGAATTCTTAAAGCTAAGTATTAATTTTTTTTTTAATTCTTGGCAGTTTTTGGAGAATTTGTACTTTTGAAACAGAGGCAAACAGTACAAGTGTTACAAGATAATCATATTTTTGTCTTTTTCACAAATGTTTCTTTCAATTATTAAGACACATCACTTGACCTTTCACCGTCATATCAATTCATCTTTACCTGATGTGGTCGAAATTCTCGATTTCCTGGAGAGAGTTTTGTGGTATTTCTTCCCTTTTCTGTTAAAACACGACACGCGAACCTTTTTCGATTTATTCTGTAAGTGAAACAATGTTTTCAGTAATTATGATATATTCCATATCCATCAATATCAGTTTAAATAAACTGTGAAAACAGTAAAGCAAAATAGACATGTTTCAGTTGACAGCGCAGTTTTTAACAAAACGAAATCGGTGTTAGAGCTAAACCCTCAGAATGACTGCAGGACCTTTTAAATTCACACCATATTCAATATATAGTATATTCGTCACACATTATCGGTTGGGTTTTAATATTTAAAAGCCACTTGAGTTAAAATTCTAAGGGATATACAGGCATTACATTTTTCGACCGATATATATTCTTCAGCCTTGTAGTGTTACAACATACATGAACAATAATTCTAAACATTGCTACGGCCTGCCATCAGTGCGCTCTCTCTCTCTCTCTCTCTCTCTCTGACATACCTAAGTTATCTTTAAAAATTCTTATACAGTAAATCAACATTAATTTCACCATTCGTTCCTAAACTGGCATTGACCCAGTGACGTCAACCTTGATCCATTCACACATCAAATACTTACATTATCCCTGGTCCCCCAGCTTTGATCGACAATATTACAAATAGCGTAGATAGGTAGCAGCACCTGCATGGCTGGGAAGCCCACCAGATAAGAGATGCCGTGGGCCAGCAGAGGGCACTCTTTGGGGTGTATGATGGCGGCGTAAACAAGACTGGCGATCAGCAGCAGAATTAGATAGTATTCTTGGAATTCTACGGTGCCGCTTGATACATCTTAAATAGAAAATATATGCCTGTTTTACAGGTGATTTGAGGTGAGAAACCAATTTGTAATGGCTATGTAAAACCTCAAGTGTCAATGATATTTGAGTAGCAATAAGTCACAGGATTAGAGCGTGAAATGTCTAACAAAATACACACGAAGAGAACGCTAGTGACAAATAAAAAGACTAGTAGTTGATACATTACAAGTATATCTTTGCACTTGTAAAGGTTTTTGCTTTAAAAATCCGGAAATATTAAAAAAATTAATTCACCTTCATTTATATCCTGTACCACATAAACAGAGCCCCCAACCACTATAGACAACATCATTAATCCCAGGATTAACGTCAAAACTAAGGATAGGCGGCACTGCAGTTTTATACTTCCAACAATGCAAACGAGGCTGTAAAGCAGCACGAGCAACCCCAAGACGGGTCCAATGATCTCAAAAGGAATGCCGTACACTATGTCAAGACCTCCTGCCAAGATAACGATGGTAGAGGCAGGAGACAGCAAAACTATTATGAACATCTGAAAGCAAAAAAGTGGCGCGCAACATTAAATAATTATTTTTTCCGAGTGATATATTACATGTAGTTGAAGTCATATACTGCCACTAATACATTCTAGCATAGAATATGACACACTACATTTATCATTTCACGTCGCGTTGTTCTTAAATAAAGATATACATTAATAGCAATTTTATTAAGATTGATTTAACGAGTAAATATTGAAATTCGCCAATCATTGCCATTTTGTAAATAAAAGTTCATAACCTAGAAATCGTGAATACAAAGACAAAACACGCAAGGACTGGTTCCCACCTGTAGCATATAGAAAATATAAGCCAGGCTAAAGTTATCATTTTTCTGTGCGAGTTTGAAAATATTCTTGAACACCAGCAGCATGTTGGCCATGTCGGACAGGACCCACCGGCGTCGCTGCTTCATGAACTCCTCAAAGGTGTCTGGGCAGAACGTAGAGTTATCACAGAAAGCGTTGTATTCCAGTTTCCAGCCACGCAGCATCATTAGCGTGCACATCCATCTGTCCTCTCCTGGACAACAAAAAGGGATCGGCGTTTAAGGCTGTGTTCGGATTCAAAGATATCGGTCCTACAGGATCGATCTATCTCCTCCGGGATTCTCGCTTAAGTGCACTCAGTGTAATCAGCTCAATTGGCTGGCCCGCCTCCTCCAGAAGCTACGAAAGATTGAGTGCACTTAAGCAAGAATCACTGCAAAAATAGATCGATCCTTCTGGACTAATGAATTTTAACCTGAACATGGCCTAAACGACATGTATGCCACTTTATTGTACCTGACCTGTGTTCATTACCATCTTCGAATTTTTGTGAGGATGTCACTATCCGTCTAGACAAGAAACAGATGTAGCCAGCAATTTCAGAGGATGTATAGTTTTTGAAACATTGGACCTTTTTAATCTCTTAGTTGAACTTACTTGAGAAATGGCACAGAATTTAGATAAAACACAAATACAAAGTGAGGATTTTCTGACCAAAACGGTACTTTCGAATGCCCCGAATTCCCCCAAACCCATGGACCTGATTAAGATGGGTATTATAGTCAGAAATAATTTGAAAAAACATCCATCTTAGGGCTCACAATGAACAACCAGTGTGGGTCTCCAAAAGGTACAGGCAGGCTTGGTAAGCAATGGCACATCTGCACACAGGCCTTTGGCTTGGGTTTGAGTTTTACATGGGCTCAACAAAGCCTTCTCCACAACCAAACCTGGGCCTGCATACTAACAACCCGTTAGCCCAGTTGGTCAAGTAGAATTACGAAGATTTAAAAAAAAATGATTCCCTTTCAGTCCCCCTTTTGAGTCCCAGCTGGGCCTCGGACAGAGATAATACCGCGGAGGTTTCAAACTTAATTACACCTTCGCAATTTAAGAGCAGGTTTATAAAATTTAGTAATTATACATCAGTAAAAAGTACATTTTATAACTCATACTATAATCTAAATTGAATAATTGGAGTACTAATTGCAACATATGTTTATGTCAGTCGCTGAGTTTATTCAATTTGCTGGGGTCACATAACTATATTACGGTAGCACGTGCTAAGACTGTCAGTGAAATTAATGGCTCTTTTAATGTCACGAGGAGTCAATGTCTGCCATGTAATTAACGACAATACAATATTACCAGAGATGGAGGAACATGTCGACGTATCAATATGACACACACATTTGTGCGCAAATACCCCAGCTGTTATTAACCATCAATGTACTTTTTTGTGATAAAGGCAAATAGCTTGCAATGTTGATTGTGGTATTTCTGGGTATGGAACCTAGTGACACCGGTGAAATATTTTCTAAGATGCCAGCCAAAAGATTAATTCCGGTATATCGGTCTCTGTTCAGTGGTCTAACGATGTATCACACAGAAATGATTTTCTTTCGTTAAAGTAATGTTTCAGTGATGCATGGTTACCTGTGTCCTTGATAAAGACATCAAATGGCTGCTCTGTTGGTCCTGCGTAGTGGGGAATGACGTCACGCACAGCGCTTGCGCGGTAAAGACTAAAGCAGCCGGGACAACACATCACGGAGCCGATAACATTCTGGGAACTTTTTATCATCCAAAAATCTGACAAAAAGAAAACAATCAAACAGGATGCAATTAATGTATAACCAATATCTTGGTAATGTGTAATTATTTACTTTCTTATAAGTAACCTTTTATTGGCTGAGTTTTTTTTTTCAATAAAAACAAAGAATTCTGAAATGTGTTTCTTCCTGTATGATCACACCCTAATAAAACATATCACCAATTAGATATCATCAATTAGAATTTCTTTTCAAAATCAAGTCTCTCTTAAAACAAAACAGCGAGGATAATTTTCCTTTTGGGAATTTTACTGGCGCTGGTGTGCAGACTTATCACACTACACGTATTGTTTTACTTAAACTACAGTAGAACTGGTTGAATAGGAGGTTTTAGGTCAAAGATCTACCGTACCTTTTGCATATTCAAACTTTTGATACCAAACCAAGGGACCGGTCGACTGGCCGATGGGATGCGTCCTGCCGCAAGCGCCACCGAGCCGACGGTCGTGGTTGCAAAGTTTCAGGAGGTCAATGAGACTATCTTCATTAAACGCCATGTCGGCATCCGTGGCCAAGATGTAAGTGTGGTCGTCAAGAGGCATGCGGCCCAGTTGTGGAGTTCGCATTGACGGCACCGTTTTCTTAGATATACTAAACACGGTCTTTGGTTTAATATTTTCCACCTTTGGAATTGCCTCTGTGTCAGTCTCGTCTTCGTAGCCGAGGTTCACGTGACCCGTCTCCTCTGACGTTATGGCTGAATCTTGGCGAATTAACTGCGCTCTGGAATCCTGGTGATTTACCGGGCGTCTCGCCTTCAACATTTTACTGCTTATTTTTCGGCCTTGAGAGCGTGCAGGAACTTCGGGGTAGTTCCACGACCGGTTAGAAGAAGCCGGGAACTTTTGCGGTGGAGGAGGGGGTGGTGGCCCCACTGGTCTAGCTAGATTCGTGGAGGAAAGTCTCAACACGGTGACAGAATTATCTAAGAAGGTTTCACTGTATTCGTAAGTTTCGTTTCCGTCGGCGTCCACAATTTTGATTGGTGGCATCATCCCGCCCACGAAGGAAGCGTCAGCGCAGGACGAGGTGTCACCTTCGTAATCTGGCCACGGTTCGGTGTCGTCTTGGAAGCGTAAGCTTCGCGGAGGAGTGTGCCCGTCGCTGCTGTCCGAATCTGAATCGTCATCAACCTCATCGTCGTCCACACCAGTGAAGAAACCTTGGTCAGAACTGTCTCGGGGCTCTGTAAAATGCTTCAGATCCGGGTTCCTATCCAGCATAGTTTTTAGGTAGCGTTTGTTCTCACGAAGATAATATGGAGTTGACGGGTTGTTGATTGTCGCGAATTCCTCTTCGGGTTCGGCGTTAGTGTCGCTGTCGTCGCTGTTTTTAGTTAAGGTAGCCGTGTTGGTGCGCCATTCCTGGTCGCTGGCGTAACCCACGTACAGAGAGTCGTCGGCATTGTTGTGCTTTCCTTTAATTAGGCCCTGAGCGATATCCTTGGAAATATCTCTCATTAGTCTATAGTTCAAAATATAAGCCATGTACATAACCTGGCTCCACCTTTTCTTTGATTTTACTTTCGTAGAGTCTTTCAGGTGGATGAAGAAAGGCATCCCGCCTGGAAGAACCCAGTTTAATTGGAGTCCGTAAGGAGTTAAAAGTTCGTTGCCTTGGTGAAGACTGACCTCCATCTTTGAATGCAACAGTGAAATCATCTGCGTTGCGAATTCGGTCACGTGATTGTCGGAGACGCCGTTGTCAAGAAAGATATGGGCCTCTAGGTATACATGCTTCAGTTTCTCTGTGGCGGAGATTTTGTGAAGGCTGGATAAAAGTCTTGCCATTTCAAACTCCGCTTCTCTGTACATTGTCGTACAGATAAACACGCGACTTTTCTCTGCGCGCGCGGGGTCTGTCACATGCGCCTTACACGTGAAGCCATCATACTTATAGTTCAGTATGAAATGTTGGTCTAAAAAGACACTGTTGAAAGTGGGCTGGATGAAAAGTTCCTCCATGGGCTTTAGCAAAATTCCCGAGTTTCGGTTCAAATCCTTGCCTTTGATTAACAACGGAGCAAGCCACGCCATGGCGGCAAGACCAAAAGCACACCACACCCAGAGACCGCCGGTGGTACAGATTAATGGATCGAGCACTCCTCTACTTGCAGAGCACACCAAGATCCCCAGAAGTATGGCAAGGGGCGTGGCTATGATGGAGGGCAGAGTCATCCCTAATATGGGCATACAAAGGGTGGTGGCTACGAATGACATGACATGTGCCACAGCTGTGCTGGAGAAATGGATCAAGAGCGGGTAGAACACAACCGGTTCATAACATCCATATAGCCCGTCAGTTAGTTTCACGTAGAAATTAGCGTTGAGTATCACGCTCTCGCGCATTCTTATCACCATTATAATGCTAAAACCGACGATCAGTATAATGATCTTAAAGACAGTATACAAAGCGGTCGCCTTCCAGCGTCCTAGAAAAGTGTCCTCGTGGGACTTAACGATATAAACTTGCACCTTTGGGCTCCAAGCCAAGGACAGTATGAGCAAACACGTCGGCAAGCAAAGCGCTTGGAACCATGGTAACGCTGACGTCAGAGCCACGATTCCTGCTATGGCACATGTAGACCACACCCCGCTGAATCCTATCACGGTTTTTAACACGCGCTTCCAGTTGGCTTCGTATGTGTGAGGGGACTCCCTTTCCTGGAGACCCTCGGGTTTGGCCATGGTAAAATTGCCGTCGTATTTAACTGCCTGGTTTCGGGCATTCATAGCCTGGATCTATGGAAGGGATGAAAATGTTCGTTTTGGTTTCATAATTTATATGTTAAATCTTGATGTTACGGAAGAACATTNGGTGTGAGGGGACTCCCTTTCCTGGAGACCCTCGGGTTTGGCCATGGTAAAATTGCCGTCGTATTTAACTGCCTGGTTTCGGGCATTCATAGCCTGGATCTATGGAAGGGATGAAAATGTTCGTTTTGGTTTCATAATTTATATGTTAAATCTTGATGTTACGGAAGAACATTTATGGAACTAATCCGACGTTTGTTAATGCTGTGTAATTGTATTGAACATATACTGTAATTTTATAGAAGAGGTATGCTCAACTATTTTATAGAACAAATATTTCATTAAAATCGCCCAGTAAATTAAAACTTGACAATTCAAGTAATTTTATAAATTCTTCGGGTCCTGAGGATAATTTATCAATAAATAAAACATAATTCATTGTTAAACATAAAAATTAAACACGACTTGATAATTTCCCTTTGAAAACAAATTACAATGACGTCAAAGCACGTACGCGGTATCCCTCCCATTGCTCATAGCACAATCCCACGGCGAACACTGCGCTCATTACCGGAAGTAGAACCTGGATCGGAAGACGTGGGGCGACTTCTAGCGTAAACACCATAAAGCTGGCCACCTCAGAAAAACTCACGAGGAAGCCCTGAAAAATTATAATATTGGCTTCTGTGTATAAGCTTTCCAGCGCTTTATAAGTGACCAGATAAGACCACTAAAAATATTTCGATAGGTAAAGGGCTCATTCCCATTGAAACTATCGGTCTACGTAGATCGAATTAGTTCCATTGGGACTCTCCCTGAAAGCAATCAGTTTAACAATTTTGCTAATATTCATTTCACAAACAATTTTACAGTATGTAAACGTAAGATATTAACTGAATAGGGTAATCCGTAAGGCATTTTTAATCTTAAGAATCAATTCGGATCTTGACGATTAATGAATTGCTTAAAACAAGTATTGACAGTTGATATAATTTAAAACTTTTCACTTAAAGATTGCCATAAACACCTCTCACCACAAACAGGGCTATCCCACTGGGCCACTGGTGAGTCTTGGTCTTCTTAATGAAGGAGGTGTTCCAGAAAACTTTTATCAGCGCAAATAATTCTGGATATAGCAAGACAAGAGCAAAAGCCGCATACCTAGGGAAGAAAACCTCCCATATTATATAGTTATTTTACACGCTGTTCGTCTGTTCTGTAAATTAAATGTTTCATTAGTATATTGAATGAAAGAAATGACCATCGGTATCTTCAAACCGCTCTAAACGGGTTAATGTACATCTCTTTTTATTCAAGTAGTGACCAGTGTTTCTTAAGGGCCTACAAGTAAACTCCCCGTCCCAGAAAAAAAATGAATAAATAAAAATAACAAAAAGACACCGTCAAAGTCATTATAATGGTATCACGACATAAACCTATAAACTTTCCCCATTTTAATTTGGCACTGCTAAGGGCAATAAATAAAGTTCATATTTTCAATACGTCTCCTTATCAAACTGCTACCTCAACCTTGACGTCATAATGCTCGTCTTAAGTTTGTTATAGGTCAAAGCTGAAACACCTTAGTGGAGAAAATGGCGGTCATATGTAGATGATTTGACCCTCACCATGTTTCCAGGCGGAGGTTGTTGATATGCGTCCCTCCCAGCAGCCAAACTAAGGACAGTTTGTTCAAGACTAGTGATGACGTCATCAGCAATGACACCAGGATTCCTATGACAAGCTAAAAATAAAGACAAATGGAATTGGAAGTATCTTGCATTACCAGTCGAACCCAATCCCACGCCTCTTTCTCTCATCGTTACCATTTATCAAATAGTAAACAAAATTTTTATATTTTTATATTTTTTTATGTTCCACATTTGTAATTGAAATATCCATAAACAATTGGATTGTTTGGTGTAGTTTTAAACCCTTTAATCACACGTCGCAAGCACCCAACAAACAGTCGAAAGTATACACCGAATACAGAGAATTTTTTATTTCATTTGTAAGAAACTTATCATTCTGTCATAAAATTTGTCCACCATACACCATATCATAAGCAACATATGAAAATGCATCTATTAGTATCACATGAACGTTTTTCATACGTTAGAGCCTGAAAGGGCCTTTTCTTCATTTTTCTTTCTTTTTTTTATTTTAAAAAATATGGCATGATGGATAACGCAAAGAAATTGCAAGTCAGCTGACACGGTCTTCCTCAAGTTTAATTTGTTAATGACTTAATTACTATGCAGAATCTGAAGTAAAAGTGTCATTTGGAACATTTACGACCTACCCCATTGACCCCTACCTTTTGTTGCACTTATTAATCTTACAAAATATGTAATTGCTCACTTATTTAATTAACAGAGAGTTTTAGTACAATTTCTGCGTTTACTTGTGTATATAATCAGATGTTAGTCACAGCACTGCTTACAACATTTATCAAGCCTCAAAACAAAGGAATTCCTGAAAATTTTACAGCATTTTGACATCAGTCCAAAAACACAACAATAACCATATCTTCTTTTATGCGCTTAAATGTTTCTATGAAACAGGCATACATGTACATCATCTTGCCTTTAAAGCCTCGGTCACAACCGGACGCACGAATTTCAGGATCGTACGTCCCCTGCGATTTTTGGGTGTTGCGGAGGCCGTGGAGGTCGTAGAGGTAGAGGAAAGTCTGCCTTGCAATAACGGCACACAATAACGGCACGTTTAAAGAATACAAGAATTTGAAAACTGGACGTTTAATTTAGAAATGATACTTCTGCCAAACAAAATGTATGTATTTTCTTAATGTATGCAGTGTATTTGTCACTACTGGAATAGATAAGTTTACCTTGAGAACGACTCTGCACCTATCAGAACAGGATAAGCTGCCACTGGGCCTCTCCACATCCTCTGCCTTGGTCTCCATTGTAAGTATATAGACAATCAGCAAGTATTCCTGGTCATATATTACATGCCTTGAATGGAATGTGAATTATGGAGCATGCTTTAAAAGAACGGAATGTATTTCATCCTTGGAGTTTTTTTTTTCTGAACGACACCTGAGAAATGCAGGAACGCGTTTGCAGTTTTTAACTCGTAAACAACGCGCGGGAAATCAAAAATATCCTATTTACGCGGTAACGAAGCAAAGTTTGATGTAAAGTCCCGTAATTTAGCGCTGTATCTCTGCCTTGGCTAGCAAACTAACAAATGGGTGGGGACAGAATATGGCATTTGCATATCCACTCTCAGCTGGAGCTGTGTGACAGCTGCTACCGCGACTGCTGGCCACATGTTCATATACGTAGTCTTGGAGATAAATTAAGTACACGCTGGTTGATCAGAGCTGGGACGAATAAAATGTTTTATGTGTCCAAGATCGGAGATGGATGCTTGTCTTGGGCAATTTTATACGCGTTGTGTCACGTGATGAGAGTTCAGAAACAATGACGGCGAGGCTTGCATGGGAAAGGGGGTGTTCAAAATGGACGCGTTATGTTCTCCCGGAAATAGCGCTTGATTGGTCAGTCCTAGGCCTGTTGTGTTGCTCTAAACGGGAAGCGATACCATACAATGATTTTTCTTTTTCTCCTTAGATGATATAAATATCAGGATATTTCCCTTATTCGTTGGATGATGCGGAAATAAATATCGACGTGTTATGATATAATGCTGTTGCATGAAAATACATCGGGTGAATTTTTTTTTTATTCGAGCTGATAACGTAACAGCAGTGTTATTGCATGTAGGTGAAAACTGTAATATCGATTTCAAACAGATCTGCCTTACCTAAACAGGTAACAACAGCTAACAGCTTACGCCTACTAGATGACAACATGAGTTGAGGGTTACCATGGGAGGTCAGTGATCCGAGATTTTAACTGTTTCACCTGACAATAAGTCACGTGATGTTTGATGTGAGTCTCACAAGGGCGTGTCCATATGCGACATCACCATACCAGACTTCATGGCGCTGTGAGGTCGACTATGCGGAAAGGATGATCCGTCGCGACAATATTTAAGGCTTTTTTGCGTGTTAAACCTAGACAATTGATATTCCTGGAAGTTTCAGGACTTTTATTTTGACATAAGTCACCAAGGCATGTCATATAAAAAACTATAAAGAAATTTACGATCTATTAACTTGTTTTTGAGTTATTTTAAGAACTAAAAATAAAATTGTGTGCTGTAAAATTCATCAGTCTCATATTCCACCACGAGAGTGAATCAAAATAATAACCTAAGAACTAAATAGATCTTAGAACTCTTTAGATCATAATTAAATGAACAGTTTTAGATGTTGTATTTCTTACGGACGTAAGGAAAATGTAGAAACCCATGTAATTTCAAAATTCAAATGCAAAGCAGACCACCTCTCCCTTTCATCTTACAATTTTGCCATAGCAACAATAATGTGAGAATATCACTTCGAAAAACAAATATTATATAAAACAGACTGTCAGTTAAGGCTTGGAGATAATAACGAAAATCGGAATTTTGTACTTCGTAATTTTGTCGATGGTTAAGGCAAGTATTGCCAAGTAAGACTTGGTGACCTTGGGCAGGTCACTGCTTGATGACGACATATATATTTATATCACCAGACGTTGCACGCGCCTGTCTGTCACAGCCTCAAGTAGCAGAGCATGCTGGCAACAAGGGGTTTGCCAAAAACATTAAATAACATTTTATAGATACGTACTGTATTTCAGTAACCTGCTGTCGTAAAGTTACGGTACATGTACAGCGGGCCGCAGAAGCTTCGTTGGTAGGCTTCAGATCAAAGGGAAACTTTCTACCTTGTCACGAAGAGAGTCAGTTTAGATATATACATATGTATATCTGCAATTACAATCGATAGGGTAAAGCAATAGCGGCGATGTAACTTTTGAAGAAAAAATAAAAGAACTTTTCTTGCTGATAATCCCACTGAAAGATAGCGCTTTTTCAAGAGTTGGGACACATGGTGCATGATTTTCACCATTTATTCAATCATGAAACTCTATGGTGCGTTTTCAGCAGCAAAAATTTTGTCATTCGAACATGGTAAAAAAACGTATGACAAATCATGGACAAAATTACGATTAATTTAAGGAAGGAATATTCAAGAAATCTCTGTTATAATCTTTTCCTACATGTATATTTTACAGTATTAGGTGATTTGAGGGGAATTAACTCAAGAAATACACAGCATGATCAATGATCAGCGGGCCGCTATCGTTCTGACTGGCAAAGGATGGTATGTCATCAACCCGTTTATTTTGATGTACATAAGTACAGGAGCATTTTTCTATTGGTGATGCTACTGCTGACAGTAGGGTGGTTAAGAGTAGTAAATATCCCTGAAGGGTCCCCATGGCTTAGTTTTAAATCTCCTATAATTTACGCACCGGTTATAGCCATAAAAAAGCGTTAAGATTATAAACCAGTGCTTTTAACGTGTCTTTAGAATTATTCCCGTTACTGTGTGGGAACTAGTCGATTAGAGAGGGGGGAAGAAAAAAACGCGCTGTAGTCAGGTCCACAGGTGCTTTCCTCACCTGCATTTTGGTTGAAGGTATCTACAAAAGATGATGAAAAACAAAAAAAAAAAAAAAAAAAAAAAAAAAAAAGCAGAAGAAAGAGTGAAAAAAAGTGTTATTGCTCTATCTAAGCAGGTTTCATGTCAGCGAAAAATGAATATCAAAGTCCTATTGTTGCACAGCCTTCTGTTGAAATAGGGTGCCATATATTTTCTCCACTTAGTTTTGATTCATAACTCCGGTTATCGTGATGGCATTATTTTTACAGTAGGGACAGCAATACCGTGTAGGGCCTATGATATACGAGGGGTTTTCCTAGGAAACCCTGACAAATTTAATCTAGATTGATTTTGTATTTAAAATAATCAATAATTAAAACTGCAGCTCCTTTTTCAAGCCATTCTCGAATGTTTTCAAATAGTCAATTTTCCAACTGAAAGTCACCGTAGCAAGCTTAATGTTAGTGTCAATCGTTTAAAGTGTTGTTGACACGTTAGTTATCTACCTGAAGACATAGATACTGATTAACTGGTCCTAATGTACCGCACTCTGTAATTAACCAGACTTCGTGCGGTCCTCCTACCTTGTGATCAGAGGTGTCAACCGGCTAGCCGTGGATGACACTTGAGTAGAAGAATAAAAATACCTCCCTTGATTGCAATTAAGACACTAAATGTCCAATCTACCTGAGCAAAATCTTCAATCGCTTTGGCTTTTCCCTCCGAACCCCATAATTATCTGTGCGTCACCAGGAATTAATCTAGCGGTGCGATCTCGCACCTTTTCTCTCTTTTTGTACTAATTTTGTACTAATTGTGCCGTATGTCCTCAGTAAACAATAGAGGGCACGCACACGTGTCGCGTTGGTCCAGGCTTCAGTTGTGTATAAAAAGGCACGGGTTGGCGGTAAGCTACACACTTTCAGCAGCCATGCCTCAGAAGAACGCCAAAGCACGCTCTACTCTTGCAGTTGCCGGGAAATCCGCAGCCACTTCCTCCAAGGGTGGACAAGGGAGAGGAACAAGTGGAGGAACATCCAAGAAGCAGTCACAGACCGCCTCTGGGAAAAGCGCCTCACCTGCCAAGAAGCAAAATACAAAGGGGAAGAAAACCAAAGGAACTCTACCGCCCGGGAAGAAATTTGACTCCCAGCATTATGATATCATTCGAAAAACGATGAAGAGAAACCCCTGGACCAGCGCCGCAAAGCTGCAAAGCATCCTGTACAAAAAAACAGGTGAGACGAAATTTTCCTGTAGTATTTGTAATTAATATTTGTTCCCTATTATAAGGTACATTATTCCATTTGAATGGTTCATTGGAGTACTTGTAATAATTTTACATCATACCAAGTATGCTAGCACTTAGTATGTTTTTTTCTTTAACATTTGTTCTGTCTTATGTTTTAAAGTAGCCATAATGATGATATTATCATCGTTATAATCAAAATAGATTTATAGTAAAATATACTCATTTATTTCAGGCCTTGACGTCAGTGAGTCCAGCATTAGCAAGGTGAGACATAAGCTCGGTTGCCCCCCTGCAAAACCTAGATTCATCTACGTGCCCGCTTTGGACGAGAGGAATAATCCGAACAGTCGTCTATACGAGCCCCCAGTCATGATTGCCGTTGGTGATCCAGCTCCCTACCGTCCAGATTTCCATAGCAGCAGACTTCCCGGTGGTGCGAGTTGCATGTAGGAAGTTATCATATTCCTCCAAAACAGCCCTTTTCAGGGCTACCCACTCGAAAAGAAAAGCTATACCACGTGTTATTTCTCTATTGCTAGAAAATGGTAAGCAGTTCCATAACATAAAAAATATAAAAAATAGTACTTGATATTTATTAAAAAAAAAAAGATTTTTAAAAAAATTTCCAAGAAAAAAAAACAACAACAAAAATTCACATTGTAAAATTTCGCTGGTCCTTCAGGTGTTGCCTCTGCATATTTTTGAATGTGTTTATCATAGCACAACATCCTAAATTATGCGAAGAAACTCGAGGTTGAGCTAGATTAAAGATCTTTATATACTCAATACGCCCAATAAATGTTACATGCAAATTTATATCTTACTTTTGAAAAAAAATGGGGCTATAATATAAAAAATGTGACGTCCATAAAGCTTTTAGTTGAATCCAAATACACGGGTCAATCGAGGTGTAATATGACGAGATGACTTGCGTGCAGTCTGCTCCAAATAATCTTCTGAATGTGGTACAAACGAAGCACAGATGTGTTACAAACACGTTTGAAGGTGATAAAGATCGTCTGTTTGGGATAGTGAAGAAATAAGAATGTGATAGAGGAGACATCACAGCATAGGCATGGTTTATCAAGCCAACTTATCACTGTGTTTTTAATAATTAATTTATCTACGATTAAGCTTGATTTATCGCGTAAATTGTTACGGTTAAAGTCATATGTTACTATCTAACCTGGTTTGATACGCTTTCAACATGTATTTGAACGCAATAATTTTGAAGTATGAAACAGCGTTATTATATGTGGTCCACGATCGATATTCACTACTATTCGCAACTCATGTTCTATAAAGCCATATTCACATTTCACAAAAAAATGTAGAAATAATCCTTAGAAACGCTTGCGTTGCTCTACATGAGAAATCTAATAACTCTAATCCCAGCTAGACTGTGTTTTCCTCCTCTCCCCATCTACATGTACATTATTAACAATGTGCGCAATTGTAGGTATTGAGTATGAAAAATAAATTTAAAACACCACAACAATGTAAAGACGTTTGTTTCCATTCGTATATTTACAACATGAACGACATAATCATCATTGGCAACCAGAGTAGGTAAATATAGCAACGCCACCTATTGTTTTGAAGTGGCAGTCACTCCATCTAGCGTTAAACGGTGAGGTCGTATGACAGCACATCTAAAAGCCGTACGTTTCTATACAAAACTGACCCTATAATAATACGGCGTCCATAGTTCAGTTTTCGACACATGCTATGTTCCTTTATAGAATTTTTTGTAATTCTATAATTATGAAGGTTCACTTTAAGTTAGAGGTCGGTGTTTTAGCCCCTCTGCTCATTCCTCTGTTAGAAAAAAGCTCTCCATATTTCCAATATGAGAAAACTATCATGTCGTTCATAATCATTCATGACGTGTTTTAACAATCTGAATCATTTGCCTCATTCATTGAGAATGTTCGCATTCACATCGTCCTTCAGACCTTCACTGTATAAATCTCCATATAACATTTTTTTTTTTTCGTCTTTTACCAGTTTTACAGGAGTCGCGCTTCAATTTTGCTCACAGAGGTTGATAATGTCAGGGGATGTTTCTCATCTATAGGTGTCACTACCGTTATTTCCTCTCGGACAGTAGATGTCGCGGGTGTGCATTCTTGGGACACTCATAACTGTCATGGCTTGCATGTTACACGTATTTACAAATATGTCGGCAATATTTTACCGTGGACTAGACTTTGTACAGATTGCTTTTATACAATAAATTGAATAAAATAAAATTACAAATATACAATTCCCCAGTACTATACACAATACTATACAATATTAGAGATAGACGGCGCTGTACAGTTTGAACTACGTGTAGGGCATTGAACTGTCTGACTTATATCGGGGAACGTCTAAGATAAGACCAATGTCAGAGCTCCTTGATGATACTTGTCTAAACCATATAGCTGTCGGAAGATTTTGACATCCCCAGTAATTTCGCCGTAATTCTTTTTCCGTAAAAGGCGGGATAACATCACAGGGTGCTCCGAAGATTGTTGTTCGGCTTGTTCCGTCAGGTTCGGCTATTTCCGGCGTGGAGTGTAAAACGTGTATTCTTGCTTCCTGTAAAAGAAAAGTGGCATGTGTGATGCTTCGGTTTAATATATTTTTGCCTTCTCTTTTTGATGCGTATTTACCTTTTAAACCGGGCGTTCGACCGCTTGCAGAACGAGTTTTAGCCCATTCTCCCCATTGTAGGCTATTATCTCCATGCGTTCACAAGCCCGATGTAACAGGGTTAAAGGGAACTAAATCATATAATAAGTTACAAATTAAAAGTTTTCTTTATTCTTTCTTCTGTAGAAAAGCATGTTAACCAAGATTTTATCCCAATCTTTAAAATATATATTGAAAAAGAAAGGTAGAGAAAATTCGCACCTCGTGGACGTGATGTGTACATCGGTGTGTGTGGGGGTAGTCCACCCAGTGTTGTGTGTACTCGTTCCCGTAGGAATATTCTCCATCTTTTCCACTAGCGTATACAACCACGTTTCTATGCTCACGTGACCGCCGAAAAGCACGTGCTAACTCCCCAGCGTAGCTCTGGTCCACGATCACGTGCACTTGCCGTGCTGCACAACTGCGCAGGTCAGATAGTAGCTCTTCAATACGGTATCGTTCACTTTCTTCCGACTACAATTAAAAAAGGATGTTGTTTATGATTATATGTCCGCATGGCGTAAATGGTATTTTCTAAATAGGCCTATATTTATTTCGTTCCATGTTGTTATGTAAACCAAGTTAGTAAGAGAGCAACTTTTTAACCACAAATTGCAGTTGTTGAACCACAGAACACTGCCTCAACGCCCAGGGCACACCAAACACATTTAAGATAAATGAATTTAAACTGAAATTGAAATCACAGTTACATATATGGCATGAGATCTTACGAAAATCTGGTCTCTATTCCAAAAAGAACCTATGTATACTTGGATCGTCAGCTCTTGGCATTATCGAGTATTATACTTCTAAAACCCATTTATTTTGTTTATTCTTTTAAAAAAGATAAACATGTGCTAGTGAATTGTTTTACTGACCACTGTCTGGTGGTGGTTTTGGGGGAGGGTACAGTCAGTTGACAGATTTAAGCTTTATTCACCTGAGGTCTATTCCAAAACGGACAACGACCAAAATTTCGTAATTGGTTTATAATGTTTACTGTTAGCTCACATTCCTTGAAAAGGGTTAGACCTACTCTGGTATAAAGTTAAATCTTAGTTAAAGAAACGGCAAAATTCCTCATATATTGTGGTAGAGTCATATCTATTTACCTTCCCATCCTGGTCTATGTCCCACAGTAAGCTTGTCCCATCATTTTTAGTCGGACTGTTCATGTACAGGACCAGGGAATCAACACAGTGAGGGTTTTCGCACAGTTTACGCATGTGGAACCTCATGGCCAGCTTCATTGCAGCGGGAAACACCTCGTGTGGTTCGTCATCGCCAGGCACTGCAAGACAAGATCAAACCGTGGTTTCAAATTGGAAATCAATGTACTCGATTTTTTTACAGCAAAATTGGTCGCACAATGAATTGGGAAATTATTCAATTAATATAACGACAAGAAATGTGTAAACACAGCAGAAAAATCCATGAAGTTTTAAAATGTACTATGACCGCAAACACAAACAGGATTGCACACGCACACGAAATCACACAACTGCAGGCAAGAACAAACGCACGCACTCATGCCCTCCTTTAATCAGACATCAAAAATGCAATATGGTGATCCTGTGCAGGGGATCATGTGGTTGTGTAGAATTATCTGCAAATGATGTGTGCTTTTGTTGTAAGCGAAAGACGTGGCTGTGAAAAAGAGGTCTGGCAAATGGAGCGCAGCCCGACGGCCCCCCTGCTGCCCGGGCCAGGAGAGACACATCAAAGGAAAAGCATTCCTCGCTAAAATGATTAAAGAAATTACAGGAGAGCTGTGATCTGTGTCTGAAATTGTTTGCTTATTCTAATTCCTAGCGGGGCGGTTTTGTGGGAATGAGATCCATCTTCTGTTCGCTTTTTATTTTATTCCATACCTCTCACTTCCCGGCCTTTTTTTTTTACTATTATTATTTTTGCCCCCCCCCCCCTCCCAAGCTTATCTCTCTCTCTCTCTCTCTCTCTCTCTCTCTCTCTCTCTCTCTGTGTCTGTGTGTGTGTGTGTGTGTGTGTGTGTGTGTGTGCGTGCGCCGACGTGTGTGTGCGTGTGTGTGTGTGTGTGAGAGAGAGAGAGAGAGAGAGAGAGAGAGAATTCGATTCAGCGAAGTGTGAAGCTGGCAATCTAAAATGACGGCGTGCGTATCTGTATTTTACACATGCATACAATGCATTGTGAACGCAGAGCAGCAAGTTACATGTAGCGGGTAATAATTTATCAGATCGCACCATTTCGTCGCCCCCTTCAGATTGGCGGAATTAAAACTCTTTAAGTTTTTACTTTGATGTTTGCATGGAGCCTGCGCGTCCCAACCAAAATAGCCAATGCGCCAGTAACTCTCTGACTTTCATTTCAGAGGTATTGATACCTATGACAAAATTGACGAAATTCATTAAAAGATCTCCCGAGTCCCGGACCGTAGGCTTGGGGGTATTTTCGGCATCAAAGCACCACAAAAGCGCCTTGATTACTGTTTATTTGACTTCATCTTTGAAGCTGAGAGTTTCATTCGAAATTCGAATTGTGTCCGCTATTGAAATGCGTTGAAGCGCTTGCGTTACACGACTTCTTAATTGAACCCCGCTTGCTCCCCACTTAAAGACCGTCCACCGGGCGTTGCGACGGAGGGGAAATCATAATAAGATGTGTTAAAGCGTCGCCTGTGTTAACAATGTTTCAATTTCTTCACAAGCGACCGCACTATACAAAACCAGTGTTCTTCGTTCTTGTTTGAAATTTGTCATTTGCTCCGTAAGTGGACAACAATATTTTTTTGTTTGACAAAAGACTGTCAATACGTGTTGGTATTATTAATACGATATAAAACATAATCTCTTGTGTACGTGGATTAAAGTGTTATTTCATCATTTGCAATTTATTAGATTTTCAATCATATTTTAATTTACTTATATGAGGTAACACGTTATTTCCACTTCAAATGAGTGATAAATTTATTTCGATTTATTACAGAGAGGACATTTTCTTTTATTTTTCAAGAAGATCACCGTGCTAACGGACGGCTCTTGATCTCATTTTACGGTCTCTCTATATATCCGAAAAGAAATGAGCGTGTTGAGGACAGGCTAAGTTCGACAATCTTCAAGGTCTATGTCACAAATATAGTACACATTTTGATGTTGTAGTTGTACTTGATTTTTCCTCTACCCTGCGAGTGCCCAAGTCGAGATAAATGTTTAAATATCGACACTGGTCTCGCGTGAATAGGGCAGCACGTAGTGTTGGACTTTAGTTTGTTTCATGCAGCGTTCATGTGCTTGCATTCATCGCCATTTTTTACTAACATTAAGATAATTTACAAAGTACTTCCCCTCCTTTTCTATTTCTCTGTCCCTTTCCACTCTTTCTTTTATTTCCCCCTCTCTCTTCCTTCCGATCTCCTCTCCCTCTGTCCAACCCCCTCACTCAACCATCACCCCCTCCCCCAATTTTCATCAGCAAGGTACCATTCTCCCCAACTGTCGGCATCCCTTTGATGTTCCCTCCTTAACACTTGTTATGCCCGACTTCAAAGACGACGTAGCGCTCTCGTGCAGGTAGCTTCACGTTCTAGCAGTATCAGTTAAGTAGCCTGTTAACCTGGACATTCGCAGCAAAACGAACGAGACAAATGGTTTATTTTATCGAATTGAAGTTAATCTGAAACATACTTTGTTTACTTAGATATCCTTGGGCCAAAAGCCTTGCAGAAATTCGCCAAAAGCGCCGAAACGTTCTTCAGAATTTTTTTTCTGGGGTATCATGCGCGAATCCTTGCAAAATAATTTCTTCCATAATCATTTTCTCTTTGATGAATAATCAAAGGAATCGTCGTGGAATATTTACATGCGCTCGTGCCTTGAATTTTCGCTTTGGTGTTTAGTCCAAAGGAACACAAAACAAGAACAAGAAA